AAAAGTGCAAACACACATTTGCTCTTGTTTGGTAGCAGTGGTACTACATGGTGCAAATGGTTGATAATTAATTGCTGATAAATACAATCTAAGTAATAAAACGCAGCCACACGTATCAGCGATAACCTCTCTGTATGACTGGAGTTTTCAAAGTTCTTTGACATCAAAACATTTTTAAAGCCCTAATAAAACAAATGCCTTCAATCTTATGAGTAACATGTTTTTTTTTCGCAAGTGCAAGACTCAGCAGAAAAACACAAAAGCAACAAATATATAAAATCCAGTTTTCAGTCCATTCTCACGTTTTCCTGTTGTGACAATTGCATCTGGTTGTGTTTGCCTTATACATTAAAACCACATTGCTGTCTTATCAATTGGAAGATCTGTGTGATCTCAGGGTTGCAAAACAAAGGCCTATCATAAACTTACTGAGCAGCCTGCCAAGAATCTCCAGTATTCGGTTGCTTTTTTGAGCATTTATCCAGTGTCAAAATTCTCCCCACCATCGCTGTCACAGTCACTTACAGTTTTTGTAAATCAGCTTTGTCAACACCACAGAGTTAAAAGTGTTCCTAAAGCCAGTGTCATTTCCCATTAAGAATATAAACAGGTCTGGACCTGGTTATATTTTGGGCATGTGGTTCAGCAGAGATGTCAGCATTGTTTTTCTTTCTCAAGCACTAAATCTGTATATCAGTGGTCTTATATGTATATCATTGGTCCACCGATCAAAGGTAATTCTGTGATAATCTGAAAGAAACTATAAGACTGGATACGTTTTTTCTAGGTTAACTGTAAAATCCTATAAAAGTCATAACCTAACTGTTATCGGTTGATAATAACGTATTTTTTTATTCACATTGCTAAAGCTGTGATATTTTACAAGAACAATTCAAATACAGAAGCTGAACACTTCAGTAATTGTACCTTCAGTTACTCAAACAAACTGTTTTTTACGTTCACACTTTTCATACCATTGGAGCACATGAAGTGGTGTTCATCGTGATATGCAGTGAAAGCTATTCAAGCAAAGCAAGTAAGGCATGAAATAGACCCACTCACACAAAGTTGTTCTCATATATCAGCACACATGCTTCTGATTACAGCTTCTGAGGAAATGAACAACAGAGAATCAAGCTCTCCAATGAAAGGTCAGTGCATTTCACATCCAACGCTGGTAGAGAGAAAATCATGGGTCAAATGTATCAAACTCTGAGGTACCTTGATGACACATCAATGAAGCAAATTGCTTTGATCTCTCCATAACTTTTCCAAATAATTCCCCATAATGTACAGTACATGCATTAAGCTATGTAACATATTTAACCACTCTGAGGACAGTTATGGGTTAAGATTTAAAAAAGCACCCGGCATGCTTCACTGACCTGCATATTTTCTGAGCTCCTATACCGTGACTCCAAAAGCCAAAGGTCTCATAGGACACGCAACAGACAACTGTTAACATGTGTGACTAATGCGACACTGGTCAGATGTGTTAAAAGAAAGCCCCCCGCCCGTTCCATCAGTAGTGCTGACAATCATGAAACCTTAGTCAGAATGTGTCAGAGTGAAGTAAAAGACCCACTCAGATAACAGATTAAAGCACACCACTCTACATGTAAAATGCAATCCTTTGTTTTATGGGGTTAGAGTTTTTATTTCTTATCTAATTTTGGAACATTCATCACTTACTATTTTTTAAACATCATAACGAGGACAGGGAGAAAATGAACACCACTGGCACTAAATTGGCTCAAGTGACAGGGAAACAAATGAACTGAGCATGGTGGGTAATGAAGGTCAGATAGACACAATAAAGAGGCATTAAAGCACACTGATGGTGAAGATTACTCAAGATGGTCTCCTTGGTTTTCCTTGTCATTTACAATGAAAATGTATATTGTTCGTAATAGAAAAAAGGGGACAGGAAGGTGGATTGATGGTTTCCAGACTAAGCTGGTATGGAAAATAGAAACACACTGCAGCTGTCAAGGCTCACAATTCTGGTTTCTGCATCAAGAAAAAAATAAATTCTGATAGCTTTTTCCTATTTCTGTTTGATGCAGAATGTCAATCCCCTCCTTTTATATGGACTAAGGCAACAAAATATATTTTTCATAGTTTTAAATTATAATGTAATAATTATAAGAATACTAATAATCATAACATTCTTATATATAATATATCATTTGGATTTTCCAAACTGTTCTAATCAAGCAGTAAGTGTGAGTAAATGACACACATGTTGTAAGTGTCTACAGATTCCTTCACCTTCTAGTAAGCTGAGATATTTTAAAGTAAACTTGTTCTTTAACACTCTATGAAACTGATCTTGAAAGCGGAGAGAAGGGAGCAAAAATCATTTATGTAGCATTTTCTGAGGTCCTGTGTATATAGGCATAGGGATTAAACACCATTATCCAGAATCAATATCAATACCAAACAAACTGCTGGACCTCTATTCCCCACCATCTATTTACAACTGGCCTCGTAGAGCTCCATCATCTGGAATACATTGAAGTTAAAATGGAAACAGTTTTGTTGGCCAAGAAACAAATGGACCACACTCAACTTTGCAATCAGCAGAATCACAAACAAACAAATCATATTGTTCTGGCCACGTAGCTATTCACATACATATAGGCCCTTATAAAAGTAAAAAATAAAAATAACACTTGGATGCTGTGCTTGTCCTATCATCTCCTCTCCTCAGCTCCCTAATCCTCTTATCACAGAAAGTTTCCATCTCAAGAGGCTTAACTCCTCAGCTGTAGTGATGACTCGGATCAAGACATAATTAACTGTACTACGTGTTTGCCTCAAAAGAAAATTCTGCTCTGCTAGCAGATTAAGCCCACTTTGACTGGGGCAGGGAATAAATCCTGCATAATTTAATTAAGTCTTGTTTGCATAAGATTCCTTGTCAGGGATGAGAACAGAGACGCCCTAACTCAAGTCTGTAAAGACATTACAGTGTAAATCAAGTGTTTTAGCCTCCCAGTGACCAGTTTTACTCTTAAATTCAAACAATCAGAAGGGTGAACGAGACAAACATCTTGAGAGGGAGAAAAGAGACAGTTCAGAAAAATACATTGCAAACAGTGAACCGGCTGCTGAAGTTATCTTCCCATGGTTTTCAGTCGATGCGTATGTCCTTTTGTTAATCAAAATAAAACTTAATTACTTGCTGACAACTGGATTCCTTAAGGTTTACAACATGGTCATTAACAGGCTCGTCTGCAACCATGACCATTATTTATGTTCGAAAGTTTATGTGAGGGTTTGTGAGCGCATGCACGTATGTCCCAAACAAGAAAAGGGGTGTTTAACTGTGTAGAAGTGGTGAAGTAGCAGCTATATGGCAAAGAAACAGATCAAAAGTCTGATCTGCAAACTCTGAGACCAGTCAAATTTCTAAAAGTTTATACATTTATTGGTATGGATCATTACATGTGGCAACTTGAAAATAGAAAACTTTGTCTGGCTCATGTGGATAACCACCTATATGAAGTCAAAGCAAAAAAAAAGCAAAAAAAAAAGGAAGAAGAGATAGCAAGTAATTATTTCAAGATCAGTAAATACTTAAAGTGAATTGTTTAGTTTCGGCCAAAACATTTACAATGTTTGCCTAAAATGATGATTTCGTCTTTAAAATGATTACTTGTGTTGATGAAAAACTTATTTTACTACTATGACAGATCAGAAATGGAGTTTGATGACTGTGAAGCTACTTCTCATATCTTGCCCCAAAATACCCATAAATCATTCACCAATGAATTAAATCATAAGCTGAAGGTTATTCAGGAGCAAACTGATTAATTACTTCTAAACTCATCTCAAAATCCTTTATTCTGTTTTATAACCTAAGTACCTCTAAATCTTAAACAAGTCAGAGATTCCTGTATTGGTTTCAATTAATAATTCTCCTTTGTACCCTGCTACATAAAGTAAAGGAGTATATCTGTGCTTGTCCTGGCCTTCAACATTCCATCAGATGAGTGGTATTTCACACAAGCCGCCTCCCTGAGTATTTCATAGTTGGCGTTGCTCTGGGATAGCATTACTGCCGTGTGCAGGGGGCGGAGGAGTCTGAAGTGTTGTGCAGGGGCTCAGACAGAAATGACTCAAGCCCCACTTTTGTTCCTCAGACACGCTGCACTCGTCTGAGGGATCAAACTTGAGAACTATTTCAAGTGAATGTGGACTTGAAGCCATTTCTTCGGGATCTTTGCATTGCAACATGTGCAGCAAGCCCATTTTCTGCAGCTGTTAACGTGTGGTGAGGGAAACTGTAGAACATGTACTTTTTTTTAGGACTAAAATGCAATGTTTTGCATGGGTATATAATTTATGTCTGTTTTGCATGCACTTTATTATTACTTTTTTCCTCAAACCTGCATGAGAATGTTTACATCTTAACAGGTGATATCAAACATGAATGTTTATAACAGAAATGCAGACTTAAATTATATTGATTTAATGTATTAAAACATTTAATTTAATCAAATTTGTGGCATTTTTACTTTATTACGTTTCATAGTGAAATATTTTTTCTTTGTAGATTTTTTTCCACAAATTATGGTTTTTGCAAACCAAAAAAACAAATGAATTGTAAAACAGGAAGTTATTTAATCCCATAAAGATGTGTACAAGTAAGGATTCAGCAATGAGTCAATAGCTGTAGGTGGTCAAAAATAATGGCCATTTGTTTTCCAAATTTGAAACGTTTCTAAAGACTTTAACTGACAAACTCTTGGAGTTATAGAGGGGCCATTTCTCAATTATTCAGTTTGTTATGCTTTATGCAGTGATCTTCATGCATTTTGCATGAGGGAAAGGAACAGTGGCGTGTCAGCTCTTTTGCTTAAGTAAAGCATGTATCGACTTTCTCATGAGCAATGCCTCGACATATCCTCCTCCCCCCTCTCACCAGATGCGGTTCAACAATGGCTTCAGTGGAAGAGTAGCATCCCCGTGCTGAAGACCTTTCCATGTGCACAATGAGTGCATGCGCGTGCAGAAATTCACACCTGCGGAGGTGGCTGCTGAGTGCTCTGTTGCTCCTGGCTGCTCTGCAGCCCTCGAGAGCTGACTGTCCCAAATCATGCGTCTGCCACGTTCCTGCGGAAGTGCACTGCACCTTCAGATACCTAACCGCAGTACCTGACCATATCCCACCAGCTGTGGAAAGAATTAACCTCGGGTAAGCGTAGAAAAATTGCACTGCGTACTTTCAGGGAAGAATAATTACAACACAGATTAGATTTCAACCCCAGAGAACACGCAGTCATAACACCAAAATTACAAAGAAACTACTGTTAGCTACCTCACTTATAGAGGCGGAGGTACGGGAAGTAGAGTAAGGAACTTTTTATACTTATGTAAATGTTTAGATTTCCGAGAAGTATGTTGACTGTTCGCAGAACTTTAACTGAAAATTGAGATAACGTTTCGTCCTTTTGGAGGACATATTTTAGTCTCTTCAATAGAGCAAAGGAGCATGCAGGGGCTGGTATAAAAATGTCCAATTACCTAATCCAAACTTGTCTGACTTGTCTATATAGTTTTTTGTTTTTTTTGTTTTATTTTATTGATGGTGATAATGATTTAACACCTTGCTTTAGCTTTAAAAGTAAGATGATAGACATCAGCTGTTCTCACCGGTGTCACGTTTAACCTGATGAGACCTCCTTTTAAATTGTTACTTGAATTTAATGAGCATCAAAGTAGGAGGTGAAGAACATACATTATGACTTAGCTTTGGCAGATATACACAACTTTAATCAGCTATTTCGGCTGTATAATAATTCCCTCAGATCTTAAGACAAGTTATGACTTCCTTGGGCAGAGTATAGCCACTGTTATTAGTAACACCTGTGTTTTGTCAGTTATGACAAGTTGATACATGATTGAAAGTGAAAAATAGCTATCCTGTTCTCCCCTCAAATGAATCTGAAGATGATTTTTAGTATTCTCAAACCCTCTGGGTTCTGTATCTTGTACAGTCTTGTCTTATATTTCCTGTTTGAGAAGTAAAACGTGGATAATTTACAATCAAACAACTCATGTGAGGATTCAAACCCCAAATACTTTACTTAACTTTTATATATGGATACAACTAAACTGTTGTGTGTTCATCAATATTGTTTTAGAGATTCAAAAGAAAAATTAGTAATAATTAAATTCGACATATGTTAACAAGAAATCAGTGATTTCAAAGTAGTTGATACTTGAATAAATCATCTTCAATCACAATTCAGTAACAAGTTCTAATAGGTGAGTAATGTAGGTTGATTCTACGGCTGTTTTTATTCATTGCTCTAAAGGGTCTCTTCTTATTATTATATAGCCTATGGGGAAATGATGAGAATTAAAGTTATTAATTTGTTAAACTCCAAGGATAACCACAGTAATAGAAATGATCAGATATGTGATGCAACTCTTTCATTTTGTGTTATTAGCTACAACAGTATAACTGCCCTGAGGGAGAGCGATCTTTCAGGCTTTGAGAAGCTGGAGCTGTTAATGTTGCACAGCAACACTATACACAGAATCGAAGACAGAGCTTTCCAAAACCTCAAGTTGTTACAGGTAATGACAAGCATTAATAATCACCATTTCAGAGCTTCTTTGAATTATGATAATGTGACAAACACCATTGATACTTTTCAAGTAAACATGCAGAGATCAAAACTTACTTTCTCTAAAGATACTTTTAAATGTACAGTCTGAAAGTCCCAGTTTCTTTGTTTATTTAATTTTTTGGTTTTGCTTTATCCACTTTAGTCACATTGTTCAAAGAAAATAATTTTGCTTTACATTTGCTTTTTGATTTACATCAGTTCAGAAATATTTATCCTAATGTATAAGTATGAAGCAACTATACAACAATGACAATCAGTTTAACACAGTCCAGCACATCTGCTTCACAAAACACAGATGTGCAAAATGGATTTATTTCAAATTCTCTCCGACACACTTTATCAAGCACCACAAGCTTCAGAGAGAATCTGTTACTGCAGGGCTTTTCTGTTGATCATAAGGCGTTCCACTTTTATTTACTTAGTATCTTGACGATCTGAAGATCATTTGTACTTTTTCTGAAAATAACAGCCGTTTGAAGATTATCAATAACACTTTTGTACGTTTACATCGGAGTCTTAAATCATTACTGTGTGACAAACTTTGCTCTCACAGGTCCTGAAACTGTCACACAACAGATTGAAGGAAATCAACAAAGAGACCTTCAAAGGGCTGGACAGTCTGCTGAGACTCCACATAGACCACAACCACATTGAGTTTATCAACCCAGAGGCTTTTTATGGCCTGACAAACTTGCAGATGATCAATTTGGAGGGCAACCGCCTTCAGCAGCTCCACAAAGACACATTCATCACGTTGAGACACAGCCAGGTTTTCAGGTTGTCCTCAGTAAGAACCATCTACCTGTCAGACAACTTCCTAACCGCTCTGCCAGCAGATATTTTCTCAGGCTGCAGCCAGTTGGAGAATGTCTTCCTCCATGGCAACCCCTGGTTGTGTGATTGCCATATGGAGTGGTTTTCCATGTGGGCACAAAGGAACACAGGTGAGTGGTCCATCTGTACTTCTACAAATGGAGAAATGTTGGGTTGTAATTTGTTTATAAGCTTCGGGAAAGTCTCCTTTGTGAACTTTAAAAATGTGTTTCTGGCCAGAACTTCAGTCATATGTTTTTCTCCTTAAAACTAGTGGCACAGGAGGTTTTACTTCCAGCAAGCAAGACATATCCAAAAGATACATATCAATCTTAGCAGAGACAACATTGGAGTCAGCACTCATTTTTGTTTCATCATAGAGGCTGCAGAAATCTGAAATACCTCAAAAAAGAAAAAAGAAGAGCATACTTTTTTATTTTTGCTTGTGACTTGGCTCTTACAAAAGTCAATTAGGAAATTTCACTTTTAGCTGTTTTTATCATCTTTTTGGTTCACATGTTTTAATGTCAAATAACAATTTAGGTTGCCTATAATAAGGAAACTGTAAATGTTCTCACTCCATGCCGCCAAACATACACTCTAACACTTGTTAATCATTTCCAGGTGTGCTGAAATGCAAGCGAGACAGGGGCAATCCAAGAGGCCAGCTGTGTCCTGTTTGCGCAAATCCTTTCTCTTACCAGAATAGAACACTAGCCCTGCTCCACAGTGATGCATTTACTTGTTCTAAACCCTGGATCGAACCCCACCTAAAGCAGAAAAACATTAGCTTGGAGGAGGGGGATTTTACTCCAGTCTCTCCCAAGGACTTCATTGCTCCCTTAGGCTCCATGCAAATGAATCTTACTGATGAGTTCTACAATGATGCCAGTCTGCTCTGCACTGTTCAGAGGCCCACTGCATTTGAGAACCTGACGCTGACCTCAGAGGAGGAAGAAGGACACAGTGTCAGTGTCCTTACCACAGGCATCATTACATATTTGGTGTGTAACATTGACTATGAACACATTCAACGCTTGTGGAAAATCCTGGCCTCCCATAGTGACTCTCCCATGTGGCTTGAAAGAGGTTTAATGTTGGCAAGAACACCAGAAATGGTGTTTAGATACAGCCAGGTAAACGATAATAAGGAGGGATCTGTCACAAACGTTGAAGCTGATATTAAAGCCTCTCCTGCTTGGCTAATGCAAGGGAAAATAAGCCTCCAACTTGACCGAACTACGACTACCTTTTCCACCCTGCACATCAAATACCAGTCTGAGGTCAACCTGCGTGTGGAAAGTACAACATCTAAAAGGGGCCACTATTCCTGGACCATGATCAAAAGAGACAATCAAATCAAGACTGAGTACACTGTGATCACAGGTGGGGATTACTGGCTTTAACTCCTGTTAATCTAGAAGATTATCAATGTTACTTTCAATACAGGCTATATTAATTTATAAATGATTTCTTATTACATGCATTTTACCAGTACGGCGATTAACAAAACATGGTGGATTGCAATTGAAATTGTATATATTTATTTTTCAATTTGAATTAAATTTAAATTAATTTAGATGATTGAATTATTACATTTTTTTAATGATTAATTTTCCTCATAGGTGGTGTGGCACAGTTGAGCTGTCAAATTCAGGGTGAGCCAAAGCCTCTGATGGAGTGGATTTTACCAGAAGGAAGTAAGGTCAGAGCACCATATTCCAGTGAGGACGGGAGGATCATAATCACCGCTGAAGGGAAGCTAACACTTCGCAGAGCGGTTTCTTCTGATGCCGGACTGTACTGGTGCATCGCAACAAACTACCTGGATGCAGATATCCTCATATTTCGAGTCACAGTTCTTTCTCCTGATGTGGAAGAGGTTGAGGTTAACGGTCTTCAACTTTCAAAGTCACTCGGGGAAAATCTGATATTGGACTGCAGCTCAACAGGAAGTCCTGTGGCTTCAGTCACCTGGATCCTCCCAGACCATTCAGTAATGGACAAGTCTCAAGGGAACAGAAATGTTTTCGAGAATGGAACTCTGTTCATCAAAGGCCTCACAGCTAGGGATCGGGGATTTTATAGGTGTTTGGTTGCTAATCACCTGGGAGTTGACCTTCTTGTGTCTCAGGTGACACTGAATGAAAAAACCCTTCAGGCTGAGACTTCATTGGACAGTGAGGGATCTGGGATGGTGATAGATGTCAAGATAAATTCTAACTTTGGAGAAAAAACGCTCAATATCGATGAAAATCTCTCCACCAATCCTGCTGACAGAACTACTCAGGAATTCAGGACTGTAACCTCAGATCGGCCTTTCCCTAGATCCAGATTGGGGGGCAGAGGTAGTTCAGGGGTTAGATTTTCACAGAGAAGAAGAGGGGCAGCTCGCAACAGACAAATTTGGAATAACAGAACCTTCGATAAAGCTTCCAGGACCGTGGATCCAGAGAAATTTGCTGAACTTGTGAAAAAAGCCAGGCATGGATCAAGATTAGAAAACGGCAAAGAGAATAAACAAGTCATATATGAAAACTCATACAATGAATCACACTCTAGTGATAATGAAATTGGCTCTGGTGATTTTCACAATGAAGAACATCCTGTTGTAGTACAGAGGATGGTAGAACCAACTAAAGAAACATTCACAGAACAAAGTAGTCACATTCAGTCAAATAGAATAAAAGAAAATCAAAGCTCACCAACCGCAGAGGCGTACATGCAGTCAGATTCTACATCAGTGAAGTCCATTTTCTCTGGCATGCCAAATCCAATTGATACAACAGAGTTTTATGTCATTGAAAAAACCAGCAATGCCCCACTAAATATACAGCCAGTCACGCTACAACTGACTGTGACAGACACTGAACAAGAGTCTCCGCTTAAGTTGTCAGTTGAACCTGCTGCAGAGACTGGTGTAGTGTTTCCTTTAACTACAGACCCCAATGTTTCTCCAGTGAGACATGAGCCAGGTCCAATAGATCTTTTCCACCACACAGACCCTGAAAGCCAGACCACATTCACAGCGATCACCACTGCAGAGCGACAGGAGGACGAGATCACCTTTCACACTACACAAACAATAAAATCCCCACACCTGTCTACAGGATCCACAATCATCTCCCGGCAGAAGATCCATTTGATCCCAAACAGCAGAGGAACTGGTGGCAGGCGGATCTTCAAAGGTCGCAGGAGGATAATCAAACCTAACAGGATCACTGACATACGCTCCTTCATCAGTCGACTTAAACAGCCGTCTTTGACGAAAGGTGGAAATACAACTGTGCCATTTCAGACTGAGCTGACAACTGGTAAGACAGCTGTTTCTTACTACACTATGATTCAGTTAGGGCTGCATGTTCAATGAATGACTGATCTCTCTATCGTATATTCATTTTTTGGGTATATTTTCTTATTTTCTCAGATTCTGATTCTGATAAAAAAAAGAAGACGATGGCAAACACTAAGTTGCAGGTTGTCACACCCACAGCTTTTTCCAGTTTTCTAATCAAAACAGAGACGCCTGCATCTACACTTAAATCTACAGCTTCTTACACTGATCGTCACAACACTGCATCTGATCCCTTGGGTAATACTGAGTCAACATCAGAGCTCTCTGTTGAGTACATAACATCTGCCGACGGCCCTGAAATCGATCCTACAGTTGATACACTTTTCACATTGAGTAAAAAACCATCATTAACATCTACAACTACAACTGCATCTAAGGTTATTCGCGGAAGAATTCCATGGAAGAGGCTGTTTCAAGGAAAAGAAAGGGAGAAAATACTTAATAGATTAAAGAGGCCGTCCTCTCTGGCAAAAATCTCAACCAGTCCAGTTGCAGCCAAGACTTCAACTACTGCTATGCCCACCACTAAACCAATTTCAATTCCCGAAGCAGAAACAAGATCCACTCCACCATCTGTACAAAGGCGAAGCAAGGAGGACTCATCACATGATGACTATGGAGGTTTAGCTTATGCAGAATTTGAATTTACAACAGCGGAACCAAACTTTCAATACATAATCACAACAAGTTCATCACATTATCCGAAGTCTCTCACCACAGATGAAACACCTACAGTGTTACAGACCTTAGTCCCTCCACCTACTGTAAAACCACATTCTGTTGAAAATCTTGATGATGGCTTCTCAGGTTCTGGAAAAATACCTGATGATTTTCTTGTAATCAGACAGAAACCTGTTAAGACAAGAGGAAGACAGGGGCAAAGAATTCATCCTTTCAAGGGAAGGAGGCCTTTTAGGAAACCTGGAAGTACTAAAACTATTCCTACCACCACAACCAGAGTTTCAACCACAGAGGAAACATCTATGGCAACCACAATGAGGGCAACAACACAGTTCCAAGACAGTTCGCTGCATACATCATCTAGTGCTATTTCCATTGACCAAACATCAGGGGAAAAAGACTTAGAAGACAAGACATTGAGCAGTTTAATGACCTACTCCACCACCAAGACTCCTATCATTGTGTCAACTTCTTATTACCCAACTACTTCATCTATATCAGTTACCACAAAACAACCTTACACAATGGCCCAAAAAGGAATGTACAGTAATATAAGACCACCAATACAGAGGAAGAATGATTACACAACTCGCAGGCCCCTATTGAAGAGAATTAGACCTACAGCACAAAGCAGTGTTGTGAGAGGCAGTGCAGATACAGGCTTTGAGTTTCACACAATGACCATCTTCACAGATAAGCAACGGCACAACAAACATGATTCATACAACAAAGGAATGCATAATCCTCCAGTTTTTGATAAAGTCCCTGACAATAAATGGACCACTGCAAGTACTCCTGGGTTTGAACTGACAGCAAAGGCCATGACCAATAAACCTAGGATAGTGGGTGGAAATGCAGCTAGCTTTACTGTTTTGTCCAACTCAGATGCTTTCTTGCCATGTGAAGCTATCGGAAATCCACAACCACTCATAACATGGAAACGCTTCTCCTCAAGCACAGGTAACATAAATTCAATTATTTATTTAGTTTTTTTTTTATCTTCCAGGTGAATAGTTAATTTGTCTTTCAATAAGAATGCATGCAATATTTGTTCAGAACACATTACATAAAAAAGTATTTCAGTCCCGTACAAGGTAACGGTGTCATGTCTGAGATTTAAAAAGATACATTGACCAGAGAGTTTCACATTATAACTCAGATATTATGAAATACCTTATTGGACAGTTGTTTGAAAAAATAACTTTAGATGTTTTTATGTAGCAGAAGCCTGAACAGTTTATATAACTCTTTAAGTTTAATTGTTATTTGTGTGTATTTATGTCTTTCTCCTTCACTTAGGCAACACAATGACCATTATTGGAAGGATGGGCAAGTTTGAGGTAATGAGTAATGGCACGCTGTCCATCCAGAATGCCAACGTGAAGGACCGCGGTCAGTATATTTGCCTTGCCGAGAACGATCATGGATCAGACAAACTTCTCATCACCCTCTCTGTAGTAGCTTACCCCTCACGTATTTTGGAGCCAAAAATGCGGGATATGAAATCTCACACAGGAAAGACAGTGGCAATGAAATGCAAAGCTGAGGGTCGGCCCATGCCGGTGATTTCCTGGATTTTGGCTAATCGGACCCAAGTCAGGGGGCAGACCAAAGAGAAGGAGAGGGTCTCTGTATCTTCTGAAGGGACTCTAATTATTGAGAATGTGTCTGTATATGATAGAGGTTATTACAAATGTATCGCCAGTAATCCTGCTGGAGCTGATACCATTACAGTCAGACTACAGGTGGTGGCAGCGCCACCAGGCATTGTGGAGGAAAAACGTCAGTTGCTAAAAGCAAGTTTGAGACAAAACTTGTGGCTACCTTGCACCGGCCACGGCAACCCTCATCCAGCTATTCACTGGGCCCTTCATGATGGAGAAATACTCAAATTTAACAGACAGGCCAGTGACAAAAGGATGTCTGTGTATGAAAATGGAACTCTTCTTATAAAACACGTGGCTTCAACAGACAGTGGAAAATATGAATGTATTGCTACCAGCTCTACGGGTTCAGAACGAAGAGTGGTGACTCTGACAGTAGAGACACAAGAGTATGCGCCTCGGATTGTTGAAACATCTGGATCCATGACAGAATTATCTTATGGGGATCAGTTGAGACTAAACTGTTCAGCAACAGGAGATCCCAAGCCAAGAATCATATGGAGGCTGCCATCTAAAGCTGTTGTTGATCAGTGGCACAGGTGAAAATACTTTAAGTGCATTGAATAAAACAAAAAAAATATTCAGAGCAAAATTATCATTTTTTAGATTCTTTCAAAACAGCATCTTTGACAGAAATAGAAATCTATATGATTAGTATTTTGTTTTAATTTTGACATCTTACTCATTTTACTTTATTTGTGCTTTTTCAATATTCTACACAATCAAAGTGATGGATCAGATTAGAATTTGAATAAAGCATTTTTAATTAAAGCCTTAAAAATATCATATGAAAGAATTTTGTTTGATGTGCCTCTTATTTTCTGTCATGCATTTTCAGGATGGGCAGTCGAATTCAGGTACTGGATAACGGTACTCTCATCGTTAATACTGTGAGTGATAAAGATGCTGGAGACTATATCTGTGTGGCAAGAAGCATGATTGACGATGATCTTCAGCTTATGAGAGTCAGCGTATCAATGAAGCCCGCAAAAATAGAGCCTAAACTTTATGAGAGGACGAAGGTGCCCTATGGTAATGACTTGAAAGTTGACTGTAAAGCCTCTGGATTACCGAAGCCAGAGATCTCCTGGGGTCTACCAGATGGTACAGTGGTCAACAGTGCTTGGCAAGCTGATGCTAGCCATGGAGGAGGACGAGCACGACGCTATACTCTGTTTGAAAATGGAACACTTTACTTAAACCAGGTACACCACTGCATTACCTATATGCTTGAATGCAATTTACAAAAATAGATTTAAGTCTAACTATAATTTTGTGTGTCTTTAGGTTGGAATATCAGAGGAAGGAGACTACACCTGCTATGCGGAAAACCAGGTGGGAAAAGATGAAATGCACGTACATATCACTGTGGTGACATCTCCCCCCAGAATACAACCAACTAGCAAGACCTATGCAAGGGTGAAGCCTGGAAATAACATTCGTTTTGACTGTGAAGTGTTTGGGGAGCCCAAGCCAAAGATCTTGTGGATGCTTCCGTCTAATGATGTAATCGCCGCATCAAATGAGCGTTACCTAATGCACGTCAATGGTTCTCTGGATATTAGAGATGTGAAACTTGATGATGCTGGGGAGTATGTTTGCATGGCTCGTAATCCTGGAGGAGAAAAAAGAAAAAAATATAAATTGGACATAGATGGGAATCCACCATTGATCAATGGCTATCGACAGAATAGAACTGTGATTAAAGATGTTGCTCCAAAACACTCCAGGAAACTTATAGACTGCAATGCTGTGGGTCATCCCACTCCAGTCATCACGTGGATTATGCCTGATAACATCTTTCTTCAAGCGCCATATTTTGGCAGCAGGATTACCGTTCATCACAATGGAACGTTAGAGATACGCAACGTACGGCCTACAGATACAGCAGAATTCATTTGCTTGGCAAGAAATGATGGGGGTGAAGCAGTACTGGTAGTGCAGCTGGAGGTTACCAGCATGCTCCGAAGGCCAATCTTCAAGAACCCTTTTAATGAACGCATTGTATCTGGGACTGGGAAAACAACTGTTTTGAATTGCTCTGCCAGTGGGAACCCATTCCCAGAGATTATTTGGATTCTGCCAAATGGAACACGATTTATTAGTGGCTCAAGCAATGGATCTCGCCACCAGTTCGGCAGTGATGGAACTTTAGTCATTTACAACTCTCAGAAAGAAGATTCTGGGAAGTACCGTTGTGGTGCCAAGAATTATCTGGGCTATATTGAAAAAGTAATCATTTTGAATATCGGGCAGAAGCCTTACATCCTTACAAGACCCAAGAGCACCATACGCAGCCTGGCTGGGGAAGTCCTGTCCCTTCATTGCCTATCTGATGGAAGTCCACGGCCAGGGATCATTTGGACTGTTCCTAGTGGCCAATCACTTACACAGCTTGAAGTGCTTGGGAGGTACCGACTGCTACAGAATGGCACCCTAGTTATTCAGGATACTATGCTGATTGATCAAGGAAACTACATCTGTAGGGCTCGTAACGATGTTGGTGAGGCAGTGCTCACTGTCCCTGTTAGTATCACAGCTTACCCGCCACGGATAAGTTCAGGGCCCCCTCAGAGTGTGAGGGTAATATCTGGAACACCTATCCAGCTCAAATGCGCTGCCTCTGGGATTCCAAAACCAGAGATCACCTGGGAGCTTCCCAGTCATTCAGTTCATTCAGCAGCAGAACAGAGACTGCTTCACCCTCAGGGTACACTAATCATCCAGAGGCCCACATCATCAGACTCTGGTGCATACAAGTGCCTAGCCAAGAACAACGTTGGTACAGACTCCAAGGTCACATATGTACGTGTACTTTGAGAAAAGATGACATATCCTGATAATAATTGTTACGCTGCTTTGTACCTTGCCTTACACATGAACTTGAAAGGAATAAGGCTTGTTGGTCATCTTTAACACGTCACAGATCCAAAATTACAAAATTAATTAATAGAGGATGGAATAGAAAAAGAATTTCAATGGGAAATGTGGATTTTTGTAAAACTGAAAAAAGCCTGTTGTGTGTCAGAGATGTGATTGTAAAGATGTACTAAGTTTCTGAAAATGCGCTGGTGGTTCTAAGTTGGGTCATTTGACATGGGGGCAAAAGGGCTGACCAAAAACTGAGCGTCGTTTGAAAGACAAAAAATACTATTACAGCAAATTCAGACAGGAAGAGAAAGGAAATGCTACAGATTATACATAAGAATAACAGGGACCATATGAAGTTTCAATTAATTGAAACGTAAGTTGAAAAGACAATATATATGCATTTTACATAATTGTTGCAAAATATCTTTCAAGGGCAAGTCATCGAAGTTTGCTGAGTGTAAAAATATATATTAAGCTTGTCTTACACTGGAGACAAATCTGTGTGGTCAGAACTACACTTTCATACCAGACTCAGATTCCTCTATTGTTGTTTTGTTATTTCGTGTCATTTTAAAGGAGAGTTCTTTATGTATGGTGGCATCACAATAAAAAGTTACACAATGATACATCAATCTGTTGCGTTACAAGCAAAAATTTACCATAATGATGTCATGAACCCGGTTTTTCACAATACATGATATACACAATAAGTAGTGAACATGGTTGAAATCCTTGATTTATACATTTCACTAATGTCTCAAAGCATTTAAGTTTTACACATTTCAGTAACTGGAGCCTGAAGGTGAAGGTAATTATCCTGTAGTACCTAGAATCAGAAAAATGTAAAGGTCTGACTGAGGTTCAAATCTTCTGGGTGGTGGTTTCCAGCTGTGAAAATAGTTATTCACCCGTAATGTTTTGTGTTCAGCGCCCACAGGAGAGCTTTTGATTTTTTGGGATGATTGTGTGCTAATACTGACCTTCTGCAAATTCATGTGAAAGATAAAGACAAAGGGAGAAATATTTTTTCTGCTATTTTCCCAGAGATGGAAGTGTTTGTTATTCGAATGGGTTTACATTTCTGCTCATAACATTCAGTGAAATAAAAATTAATCTCACACATGACCACAAAAAAATCAATTAATGAAATAGTTCACTTTTTGTTTTGTTTTGTTGACTGTCAAAGAAGAAGAGTCAAATAAAAATAATTAGTTCCAGCCACTTAGCCATCAAACAGACCCTCACTTCTTTCTTCTTAAACAGCTGGAAGCAGTTTCACATAAAAAATGCACCAGTTGTGTTTAAGGATGCACCTTGCCCCGTACAAGACCTAATAAATAATACTTTGGCTGTACTCTTTAGTTGAAAAGAGAAAAACTTAAGTTGATAAGATTATTTTAAATTGTCATAAACGCATTTGACCAAGGGAATTTTGTTTATGTTGTGGTTGTTTATATAGCTGGTGGTAGTATCTGGAAATGGTCACGGCTAAAATATAATATCTGCTAATTAGTGCTAATGGAAGATGAAAAACGCCTTTAAATGTAGCCATTAAGCAGTACATAATTAAACTTTTGTCCATTTGATTTCATCACTTTATAGCTGTTTTTTTATGGAAACTCAAGAGAGGTCAGTCGTTATTTCTCAAGTGTGCGTTCCAATAAATCAGTATTTTAGGTCTTAGGAAAAATAATCTTTCTTTTTCTAAGTTTAGAGCCATTCCAGAGCTGCGATATGACCCAAGCAAATATGGGGGAAGAGGGAATTGCCCTCCATAAACTCTGGAATGCATGGCTACTTGTTCCACGATTTGAAAGAAAAGTGTTTTCATATGTGAGTTAGGAGACAATCAAGCAAATCAATACAGTTAAAAAGCATCATGTGGCCATACAGTGAAGAGGTTTATTATTCTCAACATGTGTTCGCTTCCAATAGCGTAACGTTTATTTGCTCAGTTCTGCTTTTTTGTGGTTCATGTTTATGAAGGGATGGAGTTTGCACAACCTCGACATGGGAATCAATCAGGATTTGAAACATATTTTTCCAATCTGCCTCTTTACTTTTGGATGTTTAAAAGTGCACTGCAAAAGACGAGCTGCTTTCCAGCCAAGACCTGCTGCAAGCATGCTCCTGCACACTGGCAGTTCCTCCTCCACAGGCATTAAAGGACATTCATATACAGTTTGTATTCCCATGCATTAGCTTTCACGGTGGTCAGTTTGTTTAGTTGATATTTAGAGTAACAGCTGGTACAAGCTCTTGTCCTTGAATTTTCATTGGCTCATTACCGCTCTCTCATATAGGAGAGGAAATGTGCTGGTTTCCTTCATCCATCTACAACAAATAAGACTTTTTTGCCAATTTTCCATGGCCATTGACATAGTTTTAAAAGAGCAACGATTCCGTCTGCTGTACAGGGTGGTATTTTTGTAAGTCTTTATATGACATTTTACCTCATTGCCATTATCACAGCACAGATAGAGTACCTCTAATCATGTACAGGCCCTGGGATGCAAAACATTTATCCAGTGAATGAAGTAATGGATGGTCTGACTGAATACACAGGTGGTCTTCATTCATCACATGCACTCTTATTGAAAAATCATTTAAATTAGAACTCCTAGTTTAAAGGTGTCACAAAAGAGCAAGTTAAGAAAAAGAAGAAAGGAAGAGTTAAGAGTTTAAAGACCAGCTAGTAAAAGGAAACCAGAGGAAGGTGAGACATACTTTTGGTCTGTGGTATGAATTCCATGCTTAAGATAAGACGCAAAAAGCCTGAACCTGGAAATGGAGGTCTCAGGAGAGAAATTATTTTTCTCTGACAATTGATTTTTCTTTTTTTCAATCTCATATTTGTCTACTCAAATCAAATGCATTAGGAAATGTCTTTTTTTCTTTTTAACTTTTCTCTCAGTCGCAAACACGGACTTGCGAAGGCACACAAACATTTGATCATATGAAAGATCGGCATTTCTGTCAGTAACCGTGGTCTCCTGGAATTTCACACCAGCGCTGCAGAATCCACACCTCCCCGCTTTACCCACAAGTTGCATCAATCCATCATTGCACCTCTCTTCAAGATCGGATATGTCAGTCTCTGATGGGTCGGAGAGCCTTTATCTTTCTGTTTTAACCCAAGCAATTTTTTTTATGTGAGTAGTAGCCAATTGAAATGCATCTATAACAATATTAATACAGTGTGTAACACCATATTTATGTAATACTGCTAAATTCCTCAATGACTGTGCACCTTATAATCTTGTTATCATGTTTATATTGTATATACTTCAAATTTTTTTATTCACACCTTCCCATTTTGCACTGTTTTTGGTGGCTCTAATCTCGTTATACTACGTATAATGACAATACAGGCATTCTGATTCTTATTCTGTAAGACAGATCTACACATGGTTGTGAAAAAACACTGTTGTGAAGGAGTCCTGTATTTTTGTAGTCCGAATTCCCCCTCATGTTTTTGAAAATAACGTTTTATTTACCACTCTGCAATAAATCCACTGAGTAATTTAGATGCAGTCTGGAGGAACTGACACAGACAGGAAAGAAAAAAAATGAACACCTAAAAAAAAAAACAGACTGTGGCATAAGCCTTTCCTTTGGAAGGTTCAGTTCTCCAATCGCATGTTGTTCAAACACAATAGAAACCAGGGACTGCTCAGATTTCACTGCTAAGCATCCCAAAGCTATCAATGATTTTACTAAATTAAAGATTGTTTTATAAGACAGCATCCTGGAACTTCAATGGTGTTTAATGCCAGGAAACCATCAGATGGCACCAGTGTTCCAGTAGTCACATTCTGTTGTGTAAATCCAAAGAGGAGATCGACAAAGTACACAACAAATAGGATTTGAATTTGAAATCCCACAAAAAAAAGAGAAAACAAAAGTAACCCAGTATCCAAGAAACCCAAACAACAAAACACATATGGTGTCATTCTGTTGAACATGTAACAAGACTGAGAGGTTTGGTTTTATAATACATCATTTAGCTCACCTGCTGTGGCTTGTCTGCCTTACATAAACGGTAACCTCAGTACGATGAGATCACGGGAAAAACACACCCGCACAGCTCTGAGTTCAGCAGCTGCTACTGAAGTCATGTAGACCACTTGGATCATAAAAGTTTCTCTAGACATTCCCAAAAGCCTTTTATTGCTCTGCTTATGTAGTGTCCAAAGCGCAAACAAAAACATTTGCGGGTCTGGCTTCATGTCAAATTCCCTGATGAAATGCATATGGTGCATCTAACTTACCTTTTATTTGCGTCTCTCTTGGCCCAAAAATATCTTTGTGATTTAAAACTGAGATTGAAACTGCACATAATGTGCTCATGACCTCAACATTTTGTTTCCATCATCTTTTTTGTCAATGATATTGGCCTTTGTGGACATATTATTCCCGGCTATTGAGGTCACTGACTGAAGCTGAAACTTTTTGACCTGTCGCTTGGCCTGTCTGCTGCTCGCTGAGTGCAAACAGGACTCCGAAGAGCACACACAGACTTTCAAAAATGCCTGGTATCCCAGATTGGCCAGTCTCACAAAGAGAACTGCTGTTTTCCGATTCTCATGCCACAACTTCTCATCCTGGATAAACATTGACACCAGAGATGAGATGAGATCTAAAAAATGTCACACTACTGTTGACAAATAAAATTGTTAAAATATAAAGAAATGGGGGGGGAAACATCAGTTAATACAAGGGGATAAGGGTTGACTACTCCAGATCTGTGAGCTAATCCTTTTTTTTTCATGGTCTTCTTGTGAAATTGGGCAGGATCATTTTTATTTCTTTTTTAGATAATTTCCATGATGGGTTTTTTGTTTGTTTTTGCTTTTTGCAAAAAAGCAAAATCACTGTCTCCTCATAACAAGAGGGTTCCCGGTTTAAGTTCCTGGGGGAACTGGGACCTTTCTGCGTTGGTTCTCTCTAGGTACTCTGGCTTCCTCCCACCTTCCAAAAACATGCATTTTAGGTAATTGGACACTCCAAATTGCCCCTAGGAGTGAAAGTGAGTGTGTTTTATCCAATTAAGTTCTATATAAGCTTTGTGATTAAATTTAATCTTCCAAATAATTAAATAAAGCAATTATATAATTGAAAAACCAAAAATATAGCTAAGCTGATTAACAATCACTTCAGTACAATAAAGATAATATTTGCACATATCATCATCTTTTTACTCACATAATGAGAAAAATTCTCTGTACATTGTGAAAAAGATTATGTTGCATTTATGGAAAGATGAGTTGCACGAGCCAGGTAGTTTTCTGTGTGTCATCCACACTGATGCATCTGCCAGACCTCAGAGATGAGTATTGATTTAGCAAGACTCAAATAAAAGCTAGTTGCTAGGAAAACATCCATGTGAGCAGCAAACCGGAGCTCACCGCGATCATCTGCCAGTAGAAGCTAAAGCCCAGGAGCCAGTTGGAGCCTATGATGGAGCTGTGCTTAAGCCATTGGGTCTATTCAAGACATTTTGATCCAGGCGGCACACACATCCATACTGGACACAGGAGGTTCATAAAAAAAGAAGGAATGCACTTAAGTCAGCCATAACCAATGTAGCACTGATCACACACCCCATGAAGAAATAAAACCACCAGCTGCACCAGGAGAGGAAAGTGAAGGTCAGAGAAGTTCTATTTGAAAAATGTAACTTGTGCTTTACACTCACGGTGCATGACGGTTATAATGTGGCCATCATTTACAAAAGCTCGAAACCCTGTTGCTTGCTGTATGTTCAGTTCACAACAATATTCCCTTCAATAAGATCCTCTTTCTCTGCATGGACAACCATATGGCAGACAGACCTGCTGGAACCTACACCAAGCAGCACACCAGTAGGAGCTTAAGAAACCGCTGTCAAAGTAAAGTGTGGCCGACACATTTCAACTATATGAAGAGAAACAGATCTGAAAATGTGCCAGAGGATATGTATACACTTAATCATACATACATAAACAGTTGCAAACAAACTGCAGGCCCTTAGTGTTTTTCTACTTCCCTTTACAACACAAAAAGGTTCCACTCATATGTGTTTCACCCATCAACATTAAGATGATTAATGTATGGCAATTGGTCATGGACATAGGTCAGGGTTTAGCCTTTTATCAGACCATTGTCACAGCTTCTAGTAGCTCAATCTTTTTTGTCGAACATCAGGGACTCCACTTTATGGTCATCACTACCACATACAGCTCTTCCAAATATTAGTTTTGCTCATAGCAGGGTTGCTTAAAACAATACCCCACAGAGAGCAGTTTAAAAAAAAAAAAAACTTGTCTTTGCAAGCAAAAGAGCAACCATAAATTGACTTGTGGTCTGATCACTGGAAGAAAGTGAGAGAGGTAGTTAACAAGGGAAAGTGGAGGTGATGAAAGCCAACAGAAAAGGAAAGTATGTGTGTGTGGGAGGAATGGAAACACAGAGAAGGTCTGTGTGACACGCTCCCTGTTTTTTTCTTCTCAAGTCTGAGATGGAGTTGACCTTCTATGTGTATGCAAACTCATATACAACTGCACTAGTCGCATTCAATCTGCTGAGGACTTTGTGAGGGTGGCACGGTGGTCTGGACAGTGGACTCAGCAATTTTCCAGATTTTAATCCATAGGGGCTTATTTTGACTTTGCATTTCTCCCAGTGTATGTGTGGATTCTCTACAGGTACTCTGGCTGCCTCTCACAGTCAAAAATCACAAATACTAAATTAACTGAAGACTCCAAATGGTGATAGGAGTGACTGTGTGTGTGTGTGGTTATTTGTTTATGTGATGTACTGGTGACCTGTCCAGGGTGTGGACAGCAATATCCCAATCGCTGGGACATGCTCCAGCAAATGAATAAATGGTAAGTTGAAATGATTCAAACAATTTAAACAAATTCAAACCAACACAAATGCAAGAGAGCGAATAACAAGCTAGCCTGAGTTTTGCTTGTGTTCAAAGGAAAAACAGGAACATGGCACATTTGAGTTTCAGTCTTTGGTCTTTTTACCAGCTATTTTTTTTTTAAATACACAGAAATAGAGGTAGAAATAGAAGCTAGCCTTAGTGCAACCCTTCCAGGAGAGGGCATGGCTGACATACCCCTGATCAGACTTTTATGAACGAATGTGATTTTGGACAGTTAGGAAATTGCTCTCAAACAGAAGTTTGAATACCTTTAAATTGAGCTTAAACTGTGCATGAGATACCAAAATGCTGCAAAAAGATGTTTAGATAAACTTTAGCTTAGGAACTGGATACTGCTGATTGAGTCAAACTTGTCCCAGACGCAGGAAGTCCAAATGTTGTGACACTAACTGATGGCACACAAGTGAAATGAAGAGCAAATGGCATTCTGGGTCATGTGATTTAAAGAAGAAGTATATCACATGTTCAGGGATTGGTTATCCATTTTCTAAAGGACCCACTGAACTATTAAAACCCTGCTGCTCAACCTAAAATGTTATATTATGTCATTGAGGTTTCATACTTGATTATCAAATTGTCTATGATGCATCTTAGCATGACGATATTTTATCTACCTGCACATTATATTCTGATATAAAACACATCTGCAGGCAAGCCCCCTTTCACACAGTAAAATCCTGTGTGGAAGAGGCTTTAATGTTTCCCCAATATGTGTCCTGCAAGGCCGCGATTGAATGACCCCAAAGAGGATGAAGATGACAACATGAAAAATTATAAGAAGGATGTGTTCAATGACTCATGATGATTCCTCTTTCTTTTCTGCTGCATAACCATGACCTCTGTTCTTTCCTGTTTGTGAATAGGCTCACTGAAACATGAATTAGGTCAATATGGTGCTAATAAGATACACTTTCACCTGGACCTACACTTTCAACTAGAGCTGAGGTATTCTATCAGTGTAGCACATTCATGTCAAATTTTCACAGGGGCTATTACTGATATGTTAAAAGGTCACTGGTAAAATATACACAGCAATATTTTCTTTTCTGTTTCCTCTCAACAGGAAAGAGAAAAGAGAAATGAGAATCTTTCGCTGTAACAGCCCACATGTATAAATTAAAGGAACAGGCAGCTACCCTGTAACAGTCCGGACAGAATCCTGAGAAGAGGGACGCTTAAAATGCACTGAAACATCATCAAAACTGTCAGGTCGGTTCAGGAACTTTGACTTGCTGGTACAGTATTGCAATAAATTAGATCGAATGTGATTCAAGTTTTAGGTTTCGATTCAAGATTTTTTTATGATCACTGCCGTTGATTTAGAGCACTAATCTGAAATTTGTAGACATAATCAGAAAAATGTTCTGCTCTTCGGACTGCTGTGAGCATAAAAGCTGTTTTATAGATTTGCATAACAAAAATGTCTCAACAATGGGAATTGTTGGGTTTCTGTAAATAACTTCAGTTTGGAAAGCGCTGTGAGATAACTGTTGTTATGATTTGGCGCTAAATAAAATAAAATAAAATAAAATTTAATTTAATTCAACATTTGAGTTAAATCAAATATTTCATCCAATCATAATGTGGAAATGTTTTCACTACTTGTATTGAGATTTTTGTCTTGCTTTTTTTCCTAATATCTCGTGTGACTTTTTCTTCTTCACTGTTTTTTCACTAGACGCACAGATGGAGCTAAACACAACCTTGCCCCTGTTCCCCATCAATCACAGCCACACCAACACGACTTGCTCCCGCGACAACATTCTGAAGACGGTGGTCTTCCCTGTTCTGTATTCCTGCCTTTTTCTGGTGGGGATGTCACTCAATGGAGTGGCGGCGTGGGTGTTTCTTCGTATCCCTTCACGGTCTCACTTCATTATTTACCTGAAGAATATTGTCGTGGCGGATATCATCATGACCCTGACGTTTCCCTTTAAGGTTTGCAATCCTTCCATAGTATGAAGCAGTGTCTAATGATTTTTCATGTTTATGACCAGGACGTAATACATCAATTTGGGATATTCTAATCTTTCATATATTTAGAACTGAAAGAAATCCACTCAGAATGATAATATTTGGGGAAAGAAATCCAAATATAATCCTCACAACATCAGTGTGTCTGCATTCTGATATGTTATTGAGTCAGTGACCAGTTTTCACTAATCACTCAGTAAGGTAATTTCCCGTCAGTATGTTTTTATTTAGTTTGATTATTCAGTTTATTTCTAAATGTAAAGTAAATGGCTGAACATTCTATTTGCAGATTTTGTCAGACTCCAACATGGCATCAACTACCCTACGAGTATTTGTATGCCGGGTTTCTTCAGTGCTGTTTTACCTCACCATGTACATCAGCATCCTCTTCTTTGGCCTCATCAGCATTGACCGCTGCAGAAAGACCCTGAAACCCTTTAGAGGAACTAACTCTGCCCGGCTGACCCGCAGGAAAATCCTTTCGGGAGCCATCTGGACCACTCTGTTGATCCTCTGTTTACCCAATGTGATCCTGACAAGTAAAGCTCCAACCTCTCCATATTTCAAGTGCAGTGACCTGAAGACCCAATCTGGGTTGTCTTGGCATGAGGTGGTAAATCATGTCTGTCAAGTCATTTTCTGGGGCAACCTGGTGACTGTGATAGTTTGCTACACTCTGATCACCAAAGAGCTTTACAGATCTTACTCCCGCACTAAGTCCCACAGCGCTCAAACACAAAGTGGCGGAACAACTCAAAAGCCCCACCAGCCCAAAAGAAGAATGAATGCAAATGTCTTCCTGGTTCTTGCTGTGTTCTTTGTATGCTTTGTGCCGTTTCACTTTGCCCGTGTGCCATACACCATGAGCCAAACCCGAGGGGTTCTGTTTGATTGTAAGCTCAAACTTTTCTTCTTTCAGCTGAAGGAAAGTACACTGTTTCTCTCATCCTTAAATTCTGTTCTGGATCCACTCATTTACTTCTTTCTCTGTAAGTCCTTCAGGACCACACTGTTCAAGACTCTGCAGCTGCCTCCTGGCACCTGCAGTTGGTTAACCGGGAGAGGATCAGAAACAGATACAAGCAGATGCTCTTCTGCCTGTAATTAAATCTACTGGACAGGACCACAGACATTTTGAATCAGAATCTCAGTGAAATGGGAAACTCAGTTAGAATTTTCAATCATCACATTGTCAAATGATTTTATACTTTACTTTCTGAAATTAATCATATCTGAATTACTCTTTGTTACTATTCTACGTGAGGCAACATTTTGCAGAATAATATTCAGAGAGAAATAGACATGTGACAGCAATAGTTCGAAAATCTGCTGGATCATAAATGTGGAGTTACTTTTTGAGCATTTCAGTTTCTTTTACAATGACCATAAAGAGCATTGTTTATTGCTGTATTTCAGCTTTTTCTTTCTGTTCCTTATTCGTGTTTATAACAATATTAAGTTTCACTTCTGTATTGCCTACAAAACAAATAGTAAAATGACTAAAAGAACTGTGGTTTTTAAACTGGAAAACATGTGATTTAAAGAGTAAAACCAAAGTGTATGGTGCAAGTCATGTGTTGTCAAATCATCTCTATATGTAATACATGCTGTTTTTATTCATTTTTTTTCCGTTGAGTCAAATGACTTAAAATTATAATTACTAGGGTTTTCTGAATGTGTGTGCCGCTTTACTTTTTTAGAAAACACATGAGAAAAAATGATCTTTTTATCAGAGGAGAAGGAACTAATTTCTATTGACAGTGTGATCATGGTTTTTGCCCTGTTTTTTGTTATTGTATTTTTAACATGATGCCTTTCGTGATCATTTTCAGCTCAAAGCATTTGTATAGCACATCACAGATCTCTGAAAATAAAATGTACGGCCTTGATTTACTGTGGCATGACAATACGTAGGACATTGTATGTTTAAAGCACTCCACCCAAACCATGGATTTGCATCTATCGTGCTCAAAAGCCTGGCAAATATCTGTAATCTTTGTGGACAGCATCATCACAACAATCAGTCAGTCAGTCAGGGTGGATCAGATTCTATTTTTTATTGGTGAGTAGCTTAAATAAATTATTGATTTTTTTAAATAAAAAAATTAGCAGTCAGTCAATACAAGCAACAGACTTGATCAGTTGAATATATTAGAAATGTTGATCAAAGAAACAAAAATGGGGATACGATTTAAATATGTGAAAACTCTGTTTTTGTTTTTTAATTATTTTTATATTTGTACTAAAATAGTATATTTTACCCTGAAAACAAGTATTCATTAAAGCGTTTTTGTTGTTGTTGGACTATTGTCACATTTAATTTATTTTTTTTGACAGATTGGCTCTTAATATTGTTGTCGATAATTATAACATTTCAAATTTCAAGCTACTTTAATTATGTCAATTTAACAATGCATGAATCGACAAATCAAGGCAGATATAGCACTATGCATGTTTTGAGCAATCTATCATTTCTTGTGTGAAGCCATAAAACTGACAATCATTTCTCTGTGGAAATGGCACTCATTCATATCCTGTTGGAGACCCTTATTAGGCTTCAATGATCCAATGTGTTACATGGACGAAATGGTTGGCTAAAAAGAAGGTGTATGAAGAGCCAGCCAGGATCTTCAAAAAGCCCGGAAAGCTAATGTTCAAGATCACTTTGAAATACTGGGAGAACATTTAAGTCCTAGGAAGCAAAATGAACAGTGGCTCACTATGTTGTAATGTTGTACTGACTTTTAAGTGCAAAATAGATGGAAACCCAATTATGTTTAAAATGTTTTGCTAGAGTCTAATGATGATTTAAACATGTCTGCTTTCAATGCTGTAAGGTTTTATAGCATTTTTATAGCTGGTAAAACAAAATTAACAATAACCTTACCTCCCTTACAAAGTGTCAAATGTGGAAGAAAGAATTACAGATTATCAAATTCATTCAAATGCTCTGGTTGGGTATCTAAAAACAACCATACAATAGTAACAAATGTTTTCTAAACTAATGATACATGCAAATCAGGAAAAGCTGGGTAAGTCTGAAAAATGCAAAGCAGAAATCATTTATAGACTCATATAAATCAATCAACCCAATCATCCAAGACTGATTTACAAGTACAGAAGGTCTCACGTGGCCCCCGATGAACATCTATGGTGTTTTTTCTTATTTACTTTTAGCATACGGCGCCAACAGTGATCTGCTCAAATCAAATCCCTGTGTGTTTTCTTCCAGGTCCTGAAGATGCACAGCTCTGACTGTGAACGCACCAGCATTGAAACCACAAACGTGGTTGTTGCTTGCCTCTTTGTCCTCACATTCCCCACTGCATTAATGCACAGTAGAGTCACAGAGTGGGTGTCTTTGAGCCTGAAATCCACCTCAACTTTCATTGTGTATCTAAAAACCCTGGTGATGGCTGACACCTTCATGACCCCCACACTCCCTGTGATCACTGCAAGCAAGCTTCCTGGAGAAACATTTGGATTTTTGGAGTTTTCTCAATACTTCTTGTATTCTTTTTGTGTTTTTTTGCCTTTGTGCTTACTGCGTGTTATTTTCAATCAGTACCAAATGGTTGATTCTGTAATGAGGAGTGGGTACTGGTAGTACATGAGTTAGCTCTCTGGATGTCTTCCTCTCTGGACCCTATTCTTTATGTTCATCTGTGCAAAGAGTACAGAGATAAAAAGGGTAACATGATTACTGGCAGCACTTTCTGTGCAAAGTTATGCTGTGGTAACGTACAATAATATTTTTGTTTGGAAAGAAAGTGAGTAATGAATGGATAATCATCAATATATTGACCTTTAAGAAAAATTAGACAAGACAGAGATTTATCAGAATCTTACAACCTGTTAGTCAATGTTGATTTGAAATGTTGTGATATACTGCCATCTAGTGACCTGATGACATAAATGTGAGCAATCACATCTCGATGTCACAGAGTTGGCTATGTTAGAAAGGATTGTTCTTGAATAAATAATGTGTAAAATTCACTATATCATTCATCCTTGATCAAAGCATGTAAGTGTGCACATTATTTATACTATTCTGACATCTTTGTGTCTAATCAATTTGTAGTTTGAATGAATGTTTATGTTTAATTGACTCTCTAACATCTTAACATTTGCTACACATTCATAGAGTGCTTTTTACTTTTGATTAAATTTAGCTTGTATTTTAACATACTTAATCATGTATAGATTTCATATTCGTACTACTCTGACTATTTGGTTAAAGTTAACTCAGATAAAGTTGGGCTAAGCATCTCAAAGCTCCAGTTCAGCACTATTTCCAAACATGATGGTGTTGATTTTAAAAATGACAAAAATGTTGCTGTTTAGTTCAATTCAGTCTTTAAAACCACCAAATTCTATGAATGACGTGACAGAATAGGAAGAGCACAACTCTTCTGCCGAGGACATTACTTTGAGTAATCAGCCCCAGAAATTCAGTCACTAGTCACCCTGTTTTGGAAGTAGATGACCTGGAGAAGAGGTGTGAGGCTTACTACACAGTTGATACAATCGGTCATTTATTGAAAACGAAGGCCTTCTTAACCAGCAATAGAAAATATATTCTGACACCAGATCGGTTTTGGAATTTAAGAAGTGCTACCTCACATGAAACTAAAACCAACTGGTTCTCAGTATGGAAACCACCATAAATGAAGAAGTATTTAAAGGGATTACCTCACCTGTCAATGCAACGTAGGAAAGTTGCAAGAGTGTTTAAAGCTGTCATCAAAGCAAAGGTGGCTCACATACACAATCATACATGATGCAACTTTCATATAAATATATTTATACATGCATTCAGAAATGTGCGCACATTTAGAATATCCTTGGTCATTTCTCTAAGACCAATAATTTTGAAAAAATGTATCTTAAAAGACAATAAACTTGAAAACAGCAATGAGTAAAAAATTATGTGTATTTACAGTGTTAAATTATGTTATATTTTTAATCATGTCATATCGACATCTTTAATGTTGATAATTGGTGTTAATGTTGAAAATCACCTGACTTAGATAAACTACTGTGTCACTAATAATTTGTTTACGCTTAAGGGTAAAAGAATAGATAAAAACAGTAATGGCTGGTTCAGATAGAGGTCAGCCAGAAACATGAAGTATCCTGAATACAAAACGTTCGCTCATTAGATATCAGCTCCATTTTGGTTTTGTTGGACACCATTACATCTTTTATATTTTGCATATGTCATGATTACTTGCCAGTCTTAGCACAGGTGCTATCTTAATTTGTTTGCTAGGGAAATCAGCAATGTTTCTTAAGCCCCTACTGAGTCAATGTATTATCACGCAGTCCGCCTCACAACTTTGCATTTGAGAAAAGAGATTCAACACATCAACAGTAAGTTACTATATAAAAGTTTCTGCAATTTTTATTGTTAGTTTACAGATGTCTGCGTCAGGTCTATCAAACAAAACCCCTCGGGTATTTTGTTACCATCCACGTGAAATTGTTAATTTTGAAAATATGATTTAATGCATGAGGACAGAGTCAAGTTTAAGTAAAGCAATATTTCTCAATGTTGCAAACATACTTTTCTCAATTGGGGATCCATAGCCCAGATTTGGAAAATCTGGGCTCGAGGGTCAAGTGTACAATCAATCCTCAAAAATGAATATATTACAATCATTAACAATGCTTAATGTAACAGTCAATATAAAGTCAATATAAAATGTTCATGTGATTAATTAATTCAATTCAAACCTTTATCCTCATTTTGTAAAAGTTGGGTATTTTGGCTAAGGGGACACCTGAGTACTGTGTGAGTGTTGGTCACTATATTCCGTTTCTTCAACCTATGTCTCAGATAAAGTTATCCATAAATGTCATGTCCAGAAAGTGTTGGACGGTTTCTTACATTATTCAAGCAAATATGAATTAACAGTCAACATGTCCAATTTAAATCTGCACTGTATAACTATATGGGAAAAGTCATTCACAAAGAAATCTTCAAAAACATTTGAAATAATACAGATACTGACTAGAGGATTATTCTTCGAGGATTAAATTAGCTCAGAGTCTGCAATTAGCTATACATTTGTGACTACAATGCATTTAATGGAATGTGCTCTACACATAACAATAAAACAAAAATGTCTTTGCTGTTTATTGCCAGCAATAATGAGTGTAACACAACCTTTTGTTTTTCGAACAGCCTGCATCTTGGACAAAGATAAATGACACACCATGGATGAAGACTTGGATCTACAGTTTCATATTAACAATCAAAGTGAGTGTGGAACCAAGAGATTTTAATCTCTTTACATGAAAATAGAAACAACTTTTTACAGCACATTCTGCAGGAAAATATGTGCAGAATGTTTAATGTACACAGATTTCATATGACCGCCTAAATTGTGGGTTCTGATGTCTTCATTTTCCTCAGGTGGCGTGGACACAATGCACCCGACATCGCGCAATGACTCCGACTGTGAATCTTTATCTTATAGCCCTTATATAATCCCAGCTCTCTTCTTTCTGATGTTCCCCATTGCTTTGTTTCTAAATGTTGTAGCAGCCTGGGTGTCTCTCCAGCTAAAGTCTACCTCCACATTCGTGGTGTACCTGAAAAATCTGGTAGCCGCTGACATTATTCTGACCTTCTTGATCCCAATTAAATCTGCAGACAGTTTACCAGGTGCGTTTGAAATATTAGCTATCCCCTCATGCCGTTTTTTTTCTGTATTCTTTTACAATACTCAGTACACGTGCATCACTCTTTTGGGCTGTATAAGTGTGGACCGTTTCTTCAAGATAATGATGCCACGCAGCAGATGGTTTGGCCAGAATTTGACCCTCAGCAAAATTATATCGGCCTCAGTCTGGGTGATTATGTTTGTCTGTACAGGCTTACCTAATATGATTCTAACAAGCAAATCCACATTCAATGTCACAAAGATCAGTTGTATGAACCTGAAAGAATCAGTAGGAATAGAGTTCCACCAAAAAACTGTACTTTATCTTAACGTTTTCTTTTGGCTTGTCAGTGTAGTCATTGTGGTTTGCTACATTTGCATCACAAACAAAGTCATCCAGTCCTACAGAAACTCAGGCAGCAACAACAACCAGGGAAAGCAGAAAGTCAAGCTGCGTGTTTTTCTTGTAGTCATTGTCTTCTTTGTATGTTTTGGTCCATACCACCTTGTCAGGATCCCCTACACTTTTCAACAAGTCAGCTATTCCGATGATGACAAATGCTCTTACACTTATGATCAGATGGCCTTCGCCAAAGAACTCACCCACTGGCTAGCTACAACAAACATCTGCATGGACCCACTCATCTATGTTTTCTTGTGCCGAGAGTTCAAGGAGAAATTGACATCTATGGTGAAAAATGGCTTCTTCTCCTCAAAGTAGCTGCAGGACGCCAAGAAACACTGGCACAATAAATATTTTTTAAACTTTCCTCGGTTCTAACCTTCACTGCGTGGTGCTTTGGTTTGAATTTGCTTCAGATTCCCATTATGAAATGTTTCCACTGCTGGCAGTAATAAGACAAATAAACTTATTTCTGTGGGATGTTTCTAAACTTGTGGTGGAATTTTTACCCTCTAAATCTGCACAGCTCTCTTAAAGTTCTACCTCAGCATTTCAATCAACTTTAGGTGTGTACAATAAAATGGCTTAGGAAATGGTATTTTACCTTTTTTTTTTCAAAACAGTTCTTCTTCTCCTGTATACACAGGAGTTCATGTTCTACTCAAAGACAATAAAAATATCTGTAGCTGCTAAACAAGCCCAAATCGCCGGGCATCCACCACACTGTTTGACACTTCCTATGAGGTGTTCAAACTGACATGGTGGTTTGACCTGCAGAGACTGAGATGCAGCTTGTTGGCTTTTGACTTTTTTTTGTTTTGTTTTGTTTTTTTGTGAACTAGAACTCTATTTGATACCCTGATCAGTTTTGATTATTTGTTAAAATCTCTGATGCATTTTCAAATGATGTAAACAAAGATATTGCAGCCTTTTTTTAAAACTGTATTTACATTTGAATAACTTGTTAACGTGTGGCTCAAAATATATTTGGAAAAGTTCCCTTAACAAAATATATAAAGAAAGAAACTGGCAATACATTTTTAAACTGCTTTTGATTTCAAGAAAATGCTCTGAGGGTCCAAATTACCTCTTTCAGTATGAAATGTTACAGTATGAAGACAGATAGTTTTGGATTCAGCTCTGTTATTTGAGTCATTTTGCAGCATGTTAATAATTGTTTAGGGTTTTTTGTAAGGAATAAAAAATATACTCAACAAGGTCACATCATTTCAATATCTCATTGATCACAAAACATCTTTAAAAAGTATCAAACACTGCCTACTGTTCCTTTGTAGATTGATATGATGGTGATGTAATATGGGAATATGATCACTGTCTGTATGTGGAAAACCATGAGCCCCATGTCAATTCCAGGAAACTGGATTCTGACTTAACGATGATATGTCCCTGGGGACGTGGTAGTAGTAAACACATACCAATATTCTCAGCCACTCTCCCCATCTGTAATGATTCTTGGTTGCGGCCCAAGCAAAATCACACAGGAAGTCTTGTGGAGATCTCCTCAGAAAGCACTATTTTAGTTCTCCAGGAAGCACAAAAGAGAAAACATCTGCCCGAAAACAAAGCTGGAAAAGATGCTGGGGAATTATCAGTTGTTTCTTAGACAGTATACAGGTCACACACACGAGTGCAAAAGCAAACAAAGAAAACATGGGAATAGATTATTTGTTTATAGAAATATAGATTTGAAACAAAGACACTGTGGTAAAGATGTTGCTTCATCAATGCCAGCCTGCTGTGCAACCGTAAATAGAGCATTTCATGAGAAATGCATGACATGAAATGCATAACCACGACAACCACACGTCTAGTCTGGTTTTCCTTTTTCTTTTCTTATAGGCACTGACAGAAAATTTGACGTCTGTGGTTGGTATATAAAAGTTTCAGCATGACGGGAGGATCTGCATTGTGCAGGAGGTCTCTACGTTTGCATCAAGACATGAGTCCATGCCTTTTGTGTTTGCCTATCAACAACCACTGAGGCAAGCTAGCGGAGGCAGAGGGACTGGCACGGAGCAGAACAAGCCTCTCAGTAGACAATTGTAACAGGAAGCAAGGAAGGAAAGGGTCTTTCACCCGGAGGAAGACTGGCAAACTCATTGGATCGTGACAAGACAGGCACACAGTAGCTCCAGAGACCACCCATTGTAAGACCATCAAACCCACACACACACACACACACACACACACACACTTAAATGGAGAAAGAGAGTCGGGGGAAATACTGAGAGGGAGACTCAAACCTTAGGTCAGAACAGTAGTTATTTACTTTTGCCTTTAAATAGTTCACACTGGATGGTTGTTATTGTCATCATTGCTCGTTTTGCAAATCCCCTCCCTCCTCTTCCTGTGGGTTAAAAAAAGGGAAAAAGGAATTGGATATTTCACTTCCTCCTCTTTATGAAAGTCTGTATTTTTTTCTCTTTTTACACTTTCATTATTCTTCCAATGCAGAAGAGAAGGTAAGACTAATTATCGGCTTAAGCTTTTATAGATAAAACTATAGCTTGACACTAGCATCTGAAGTGAAATAGACAAATTTAGGATGATTAAATATTTATTCTGATTGTAAAATTTTCCATTTCTGCACAAGGACTTCAGAAAGAGGCAAATCAATGAATGACCAAACTAAACAAATGGATTTTTCATGCCTTTGAGATTGTGCCAAATTTCTATCATTTCTTCATTTTTATTGAGAAAATGAAAAACATCTAATTTTCAATTTAAAGACAGAACATCTAAACATTTGGGGTCTGGTCATACTTGAATGAATTTAATCTGTCTCATATATTTCGGAACATTCTGTGTGAGTCAGCTGCAGGCCTTCAATGATGTTCTCTGAAGATGCTGATGATTTCAGGTCAAAATATTGGAAGTTGTCTCTATTGATTACTTCAGTTGTGAATTGTCCAGAGACAACTGGATCACAATTGAATCATAAATATGAGAACTGGTTATCTAAAACTCTTGAAGGTCTCGAAAACTGTCCAAGGTGAAAATTTCAAAGTGACCTCTTTTGATAAAGGAAAAAATATATTAATGACTTGAAAAGAAAAAAAATCTACGCATGTTGGAATAATTCATTGCGAAAACATTGTAAAACACGGAAAAAGAAAATTCCATCATCCATTTTATATTTGTGACATAACATATGCTGACGCTGTTGCTTTGTCTTCTATGTGCTTCAACTAGTTTTTTTGTTACATATGATCATGCGTGACATATGTTGTGTGAGCGGACTCAAACTGTCATATATGTTGTGCCTTGCATGGCAAAGTTAAAGTCATGATGGTTTGCAAAGTGGTCCACACAGAACATTGCATTTTAATAAGAGGATTGTTCACTTGATTGTCAGGTGGTTAGAAATTATGACTGATATGGATTATATCACAACAAATTGAAGTGTCTTCTCTTTGTATAATTTCTTTTAAAAAATGTATTTCACTCTCTCTCCTTTTGTCTTTCTTTCTCATTCAAACAAAGATCAGTTGAGGAACAGAAAATGAACAACACTCCGCCCAACATCTCTCTTAAGTGCACTAGGGATACCAGTGTCACATCGGTGGTTTTCCCCTGCCTGTACAGCATCCTTTTTATAGTTGCCCTGATACTGAATTGCCTGGCCGCATGGATCTTCTTCAACATCACCAGCACCTCAACATTTGTCGTCTTCCTCAAAAATGTGGTAAGCCAGAAAGTAATGCCCTTGTAAAACACAGTCAAAACAGCAACAAAAAAACAAACCAGTTATGCTTCAACTACAGGTGGTGGCTGACTTGCTGATGACCCTGACCATCCCTCTGAAAGTCTTTAGTGATGCGGGTGTGGGCTCGTGGCGTCTACGAGCGTTCTATTGCCAATACTCGGCCGTTCTCTTCTACATCACCATGTACATCAGCATCCTGCTGCTGGGCTTCATCAGCTTGGACCGCTACCTGAAGATCGTCAGGCCCTTTGGAAAATGCATTCTGCAGCGAGTTCGTGTTGGTCAGGTGTTGAGTGCAACTGTTTGGGTGGTGATGCTGTCTTTGGCACTGCCCAACGTCATTCTCAGCGATCAGCCGCCTAAATTCTCTGGAGGCAAACTCAAGTGCACCTCCATGAAGAGTAAAGCCGGCCTACTGTGGCACGAAGGATTCAACTACTTCTGTCAGGTAGATATATAACAAAACAAAAAAAACTTTTGCACTTTTTTTTCTAAATACATTTTACCTTGGGGAATAAAAGGGCTTTAAAGGGCTATATTTTTTCAAGACACAAGAATTGATCTCTATCAACATTTGCATTTCTCAATACTTTTTAAATCATATACGCTGTCAGCACTAATTTTTACCATTTGTGTTGTAAACATCAGCTCCAATCACCCTAAACTAAAATTGTGAGCACACAAACAATTATTTCAGCGAGTCTAATGTTTTGTTGTTGTTTTTCTTTTAGGTTATTTTTTGGGGCACGCTTGCTGTCATGATCGTTTGCTACACATTTATCAGCAAGAAGGTGTACGAGTCATACAAGGCCTCAAAGAGCAGATCAAAGGGTGCAAGTCGCAGAACTAAGGCAAAAGTCTTTGTGGTGGTGGGGGTGTTTTTTATTTGCTTTGCCCCTTTCCACTTCGCTCGTGTTCCATATACTCTGACCCAAACCCGTAGCACGGCAAGTCATTGCCGGGCACAGAATGCACTGTACGTTGCCAAGGAAACCACCCTGTGGCTGTCTGCCACAAATGTGTGTCTCGACCCGCTTATCTATGTCTTCCTGTGTAAAGTGTTCAGAAAGAGACTTACAGCCACATTCTGCAAAGCCACCAGAGAATCACCCACGGCAACGTCGACACAACTGGAGATGTCAAAAATAAACCATAGCACCAGAATGTCTTATGATGGCATGTCATAGACTGATCAAAGTACAGCCCCACTAAATCAATAACTGCTGTAAATCCAAGGCGAGATGGTTTTTTAAGAGTGACGATATACAGCTATTTTTTCTGTTGATATTAGTTACAAAACCAATTTTAATTCCAGCACAAGATATTTATATTGAGACTACAGGGACATGTCAACTGAAAAAGTCACACTTGTCTTAGAGTCTTCAACTTTGAGATCTTCTGTTTCTCAGCTGACAAAGCATTTTTGGGCAGCATTCGCTGACTCATCCAACACATTTCCTCGATTTTCTAATCTTGTTCAAACTGTACTTTCCCTTTGAGGAACTAAGGCTCAAGCATAAACATCTTGGAATTGCAAATAGCATACAAAGTATTATTTTAACAGGAACTGGCCAATAACATCTGAGCAAGGGAATAAGTAGGCTACAGAAGAAGTTTGGAAGAATTTGAATAGTAAATAGTAGTTACTATTAAATATCATACTGTAATTGCTAAATACTCATATTAGTCATAAACATAGTCATTTTGTGGGGATATTAACATAATTCTATCTTGCATCATTCTAATGTTATCAATAGTTAAGCAAAACCCCAAGACACAGCATTCCTTTCGTAGTACTTTTTACAGAGCCAAAGATAAAGTCTGAATAAATTCTCCTTTTTTAGGGGCAATGTATAATTCATTTTGAAGTTCCAATGTATGAAACAGATCTTCCAAGAAGCAGTAAAAGTTTTCATAGTGATCCATTTAACTCCCATTCTGCAAAAATATTGTGTTGTAAATATCAGAACAAAGTCCTGCATTGAACATTGTACTTTAATGTGTATTGTCACAAAATTGTATATAAAAGCAGAGAATGTCTTATGACTGTTACACTGTCTTATTATTGTGTATTTAAAATCATTTGGGTTTGCATTGAGCTTATTTAGTATACGGCTACAAACAGTTATTATCATTATTTTTTGGCTCTGTCATTCCAGAGACAAAATGTAAAATGAAATATTGTATGAATTGGCTTTTTTGTGTATATATTTGGACATTGTTTTTTTGTGTATTGAATTTTTCGACAGTATTCTTGTCTAGCTTCAATTAATTATTAATTACTTGTAATTACAATCAAGTTAGCTACTGACCTCCCATTTTTTTCTCTTTATTTGTTATCATCATTTGAGCTACTTTTCATTTGATTGGTGTTCAAACTGTTTATATTTCATCCTTGTAAATTTCAGACGTGCACGTTCATCTCAGGATGACTTCATTTACATCCATTTCACACAAGTTTTAATGTAAACCTGGAGCACTTTTGCTAGATAGTTTTCAAAAATAAAAATAACCATGAATTGTTTACAGTAGTCTGGTGTCATTTTTTGGTTAATGACCATATACCAGTTTGGGCGTGCTAACTACATCCTTGTTTAACATAAAGTGCAACAGACCAGATACTCGATGTCGGTGAAGGTACAACATGTTTAACATCACCTAGCAAGGGAACAACCACTTCCAAGGGCATAGCATCTGAGATTGCTGCAGCAGCATCGTACTGAGCAAGAGGGGAAAAGTTAATTAGGAATAAATTGACTTTCCAACACAGCAACACCCAAAAGACTATTTCTTACAATATTCACAAACCATTTCTGCAGGATTAATGTCACCTCCCACCTTACTCATAATTGAGTCTGCATTCCGTTTTGATTAATCTGATAATGAAATATGATCTCTACATGCTACAATATTTCAGATACAGCAGTTGCTGAGATTTGGGCGTAAAATTAACGAGCGGTCAGGGCAGTGACTGCAGTCAGGGAATGGAGCATTTGTCACTTTAAGATTACTACCTCTGACAGATGACCCCATAGTATTGAATTATGCAAAATTCTGAATTTTATTCATGGAAATTAAACACTGTAAATGGTCTAATCTGAAAAAATACATGGCACAAGCTGTTGATAAAAAAAAAGTGAGTCAAATATCGTAAAACCAGTCAGACGGAGGGACTGACAGTTCCTTAACTCACAGCAGGGTGGTACTGTTTGCTGAGATGTCTGTCATTTGTATAGCAAGGCCAATCAGTGGATTTTTAAATGTTTCAGATAAAAGAGATGGCTTTAAAAAAGGTAGGAGGACCATTAATCTTCTCTGATGCGTTGATATATTAAATTGTTAGAATTGGGCTATAGTTACTCACTTTAGCATTGTATGCTGTAATATAATCAATGTAAATTACTAATTCATTTTAGAACTATACTTTTGCGTTAAACTCTCTGGCCGTGCCCACAGATTTTCTTTCTCTCTTTGTTCCAGTAGATACACATCTTCAAAGTCAACATCCACACACACACTTTGTTACCACATTCCAATGAAATCGGCATGAATTAGAAGCTGGCCTCTTCATGTCAGAGGAAACTGGCCAGTAACACTAGGTTGTATCCAGTCCTCCTTTTGTAAGGGGAAGGCCTAGCCCAGGAGATAAATATCCATCACATCCGGATTTGGGGGCTCTTGCCGACTGAGATCCTCAGGAAACTTTGTCTGTGTGAGCCCAGCGATGATTACTTTACCGGTGACCAATAAACGTCATATTTGTACTCCTGATCTACTCTGGTTTATTCTCAGGATTCCAGCTAAAGAACTGGGTCAACAAAATATTTGATTAACATGAATCTGATTCAATCATTCAATTAATAAAAACAATCCTTTTGAATTTCTCCTTTGCGGTCACATTTTCCGCTCTTGAGAAAAGAGACTAAAAAAAGGTGTTGATATGGTAAACATGAAAAGTATATTACTCGTACACTAAAAACTTTGTTTCAGAAACTTTTTAAAAAAAAGATTGCAGTCACAATTTCTTAAGGTCTTTGTGAAAGGTCTGTTGCATGCTTTGATCAAATAACCAGTGCAATGTCCAAGTCCAGGATTTAGCAGTCTCATCCTCCAGGCCTCAGAATTGTGAAATGAACGATAATGCTTTTCAAGAAGAGTGTTGTGTGTCCTACTCAGCAATTCCACAGTTTAACCTTGAGCAGAACTGAGATTCTGCTCCTTCATGGGCACATGACATTATTATGACATGACATTTTTAGTAGCTACTGCTGTCTTCCTCAATTGTAGGCTTTTTTTTTTATCCGTGTCAGATTGAGTAAACCACTTTTACGACTGAAAAACAGACAATAGAAATTTTAAGGGGCCCTTTATAAAACGGCCAGAAACGTTCTTTGGTGGATTTTTTTCTTCTTTCATTGTAGAACTTTTCTACAGTTTTTTCTATTGTTATTTTTTTCTACTGTTATTTATTTGTTTCCAGTAATTTAAATGTTTTTCATTTATTAAAAAAAGACCACCACACTCTGGTTCCTTGGTAGCCTACAGAAAATATATTTTCCATTCTGGTAAACAACATTCACTCCACTTCTGCGGTGAGAACACCGGAAACCATATGAGTGACACAGTTGAGTGAGGCTGACACCCCCACCCATGGACATATATACGTATATATATGTATATATGTCTATTCCCCCACCCACTTCAAAAATTGGTGGCTGTTGCTTTGCGTGGCCACGTGACGTGCCTTCGCTTGTCTGCGCGCTGACGTCACGTCATGATGCCACGTGATCAACATTGCCGGGGTCATATGATCGTTTTATTACGTCTTCCCGTTTACCCTCAGCTCTCTCCGAACGAGCGGCGAATATGGCGGATTATGAGGAGCGGCGGAGCCTGTTAGGGGAGGAGGACGAGGGCTCGTTCGCCGGCCGGCAGCCACCCAGAGGGGCCGGCAAACAGATGCCCGCCATATGCGACCCCAGCCACCTACTGCACCGGGTGGTTGTCCTGGTTTTCATGTGCTTCCTGGGATTCGGTGAGCAGTAAACAGCATTCCACCATGTCATTGTTGGAAGTTGTGGCTTAACTTTAAAAAAAGAAATCCCAAATGCGTGTTCTCTTTCGTGTTTTGTGCAAAGCTAGTCAACATTATTAGTAAAAGGTGGTGCTTTGTTCCAGGAAGTTACTTCTGTTATGACAATCCGGCTGCACTTCAAACTCAAGTCCTCCAGGTAACTCATATTTTCGAAGTTAAAAATCCTACACCCTTACACAGGGCATTGTAGTTTAAAAAAAGCATGTATTCCATTTATTCTATCCCATAATTTAGGCACAAAACAGACATGAGTGTTGTAACATCCTCTCCTTACTATAGGGAATCATCAGTTCCAAGAGTACTCTTCACTCATACATTTGGTTTCTGTCTCTGACTTTCCCAGGACCTGAACCTGAACACAGCAAAGTTCATGCAGCTGTATGCCTGGTACTCCTGGCCCAATGTGGTCCTCTGCTTCTTTGGAGGGTTTCTACTTGACAGGGTCTTTGGCATCAGGTACAAAAAAATGCATTAGTGCAATAGCATTTTTTTAACCAAAACTGAAAGTAAAGGAGTTGCAGCTTTTGTCTTCCTGATCAGTCCCATTTTTCACCCCATTTAGGCTGGGAACCATCATCTTTTCCCTCTTTGTCTGTGTTGGACAGGTAGGTTTATTTAGGAAAAAGTCAGAATGAAAGAAGGGATATATATTTGTAAACTGGTGTTGTTGATCCATATTAAACAGACATGTAGTCAGAAAAAGCTTCTTTAAAAAATAAAAAAAAATCTCTCCACAGGTAATATTTGCTACTGGAGCTCTGCTGAATCGCTTCTGGCTGATGGAAGTTGGACGCTTTGTATTTGGGTAAAAAATATTGATTTCTTAAGCTTACAGAATTAGTATTTAACAATTAACATTTCATCTAAAAATTTTGCAAAACATTAACCCAGCAATCCCAAACTGGCACGAGATTTAGAGAAATCGTGCTTTGAGGTGAAAATATGTGAGACTCAGTTGGGCCTTGTTTTCTTCTCTTGGATAGTATCGGAGGGGAATCATTGGCTGTGGCCCAGAACACATATGCAGTCAACTGGTTCAAAGGCAAGGAGCTCAATCTGGTGTTTGGCCTTCAGCTGAGCATGGCTCGACTGGTATAGACGCCGCTAACAGAACTTTTTCTTTTTTCAGTCTATGAAACAGAACTCATGTCACTGATGCAGTGAACTTAATCAGTCCCATCTTCTGTCTGTAGGGGAGCACAGTGAACATGAACATCATGGGCTGGGTGTATAGCCAGGTTGCACTTATGGTTGGATCCACTGGATACACTGCACTTGGCGGATCACTCATGATAGGTAAGTGTATACTTGTGCTTCACTCAAGTAGAAACGCTTTTAAACCGAGCTTCAGGTTACGTGTGCTTTTTTTCTTTTTCATAACGCTGAAAGTAGATTCTCTCTCTGTAAGTAGTGTTCTCACATAACACAGCCAACAAGAGACAGAGGAGAGAGAAGTTGTAAAGAGAACTAAAACTGATACTTGCCGCCTAAAATGAATCACAAAGATCAGAATAAGTGTCACTTCTTATTTTGTTCAGTCTTTTTTTTTTTTTGGTTTACAGTCATGTAAACATGCTTCCACTTTTGCAGACCTTGCACTTTTCTGTTGTCTTGTATGGCGTCTTCCCACTGCAAACGAAACCTGAATAGATCAGATTGATTCACCTGTTTTGCAGAATCAGTATGTGATTGTCAGCTAGGGATGATATAAAGCTAAAAGTGGGAGGACCTTTTTATTAGTTTCATCCTGTCTTAGGTTGTTATAATTTCAGTGCATCCTCTCTTCCATTAGCTGGTGTAACCTGTCTCTTCTCACTGATCTGTGCTCTGGTGCTGGGATTCCTTGATAAGAGAGCAGAAAGGATTCTAAACAAAGAGCAAGGGAACACAGGTAATGTAATCTAAAGATAATGTTATCTTTTATCAATTGTCTTTCCTCTTTGACACAGACCTGTCAATAACTACTTAAAGGTTTTTCCCAAAATCATTGTGGACTCTGCCACACTCCAAGGCCTTGGGTTGTTGTCATTGGTTGACTGGACACTATTGACTTTAGATAATGCATGAGTCTGATTACATTGATTTATTTATTCATTTTACTTAAGGAAACTTATGTAAAATTAGAGGGGTTTTTTCTTAATTTTAAGGGGGCCTCGTTGAAAGAGACGCTTGCAAAGTTGCATTAAACTTGCCTGTGTGTTTGTAATCCTGCATTTTAGGTGAGGTGATTAAGCTGACTGACGTGAAAGATTTCCCCTTCACCCTGTGGCTCATCTTCATCATTTGTGTGGGTTACTATGTCGCCATTTTCCCCTTTATTGGACTGGGACAGTGAGTATTTCATATGTGCTCTCTTGAATTCAGACACACAAACACAATCTGTCCCCAAGCAGTCTTCTAATGTCTCTGAATCTCTTAAGTAGCGCCGCCAAATCAAAGAGTAAATGGTGTTTCTTTTGTTTCTCATGAAAAACTGGAAGCGCAGAGCACATCACCACACCATCCAAATGCATTGGATAGTTGTGGTGATACGATACAGTCTTTGTTCTTTCGATTGGAAAATTCCTGACTTGCAGAAAAAAAAAAAAACCTTATTCAGTATGTTTTCCTGATAATAGATTCCTCAATAGCACCAGTTTTTGTTCCCTTTGACACTGATACTAAAGCTATTTGGTTCTTAAAAAATATTAGAATCTTTAGAAATAAACCACTTCTAAAAATGTTCAATCGGGCAATAAATAAAATCAAACCTTTTAAAAGCTGACCACTGCTGTTGAGTGTACGTTTTACATAAACGTACATTATAAATGTGACTATTTTAGGCTGTAAAATGGCTCGAATTGTCCCTGAGAGTGCTTTGGTAGGAGAAGTCAGTTTATGAGATGACTCATGTTTTTAAAAAAAAGTTTTAGGAAACTTATCAGGGTTTGCTGCAAAGAACAAGCTGTCCAAGCCATTGGATTCATATCTAACACAAACTAAATCAAAAATGGAAATTTAGTCATTTTGGTCTATTTTTTTCTTTTTAATCCAACCACAGTTCCAAAATGTAGGGCCAATAAAATCTCCACAGCTGAGTAAAGCCACAATTTGTATATCTCATAAATAGATTTTCACCCTTCGTGGATTAATATTGTACCGTAATCTATCTATCTATGTATCTAGATGTATTATTTTCTATAGATCATGGAAAGTTGGAAGTGAAATGTTTTCATCTGCTGTGGGTAGGAGCATCCATCCACAATCTGCTTGAGTAGTTTTGAGGTGTGAAATGGACATTTACGATTAGATGACAGGAATCACTCGCAGGGTTTTGTTTGGACTTTGCCCCATGTTATTACCAGCACATAACCAGTTTGGCTGTGATGCTAGTCAGTTTTTTAAGTACTCTTTAGCTTTATTTTTAATACATTTGCAGGGTTAACACTGTGAAATCTCTCCAAGGTAAACTTAAACCAAAACAAACAACAATATTCCTAAACTGAACCCCAAAAGACATAACCATTTTTATGTATTAACCCATTTGAAGGCTTATATTTATGTAAACAGTGAGTGACACTTAATAGAATATGTCTCCAAAGCATGAGTCGCATGTCGTGCTATTCCTCCATCAGCCTTACATCGCTCATTTTTGTGCTGCCTTTGTTGCATGTTCTTTAGGTAGCACTGCCCCAGGCAGAACATTTTCCATGCATGTCACTGCATGGGTGCCCATAGACAACATGTCAGTTTGCCATAAATGCTTCTAGTTTTGACAAAACAGCTCTATCTGATGCCCTGTGATGAGAACAAGGTGCATTACACTAAAAAGGACGGCAGAATGTCAGAAAGAAAGCAGTTTGACATGCTTTGGGGGGGAGAAAGCGCAAAATTGCTAAATCTACTAAATTTACCTCTAAAAAGGGACTTGCTTGGCAACTGTTATTGCTTTTCCACAGAGGATCAAAGCTGTCAGAGGAAGTTGCTGCAATGCAAATGTGGACAGAAAGCAATGTATGAAAGATGGCAGTTGCCTGCTGCAGGAGTAGATTCAATTTCTCCTATCTTTGTGCGGTAGTGCGTAGTATTTGTTTGTACTCTGAGTCTTATCGTCTCATCTTTTCATTTTCAGGGTGTTCTTCATTGAAAAATTCAACTTCTCCCCAGCTGAAGCAAGAGCTGTAAACAGGTAACTTGGGTTGGATTTAAAATGAGGCCAAGCTGCAGTGAGACAGTGACAATCTGATGTTCTGCTGTCTTTGTAATTTCACAATTATATCTAAGAATTTTAATGGTGTCCCGTGTCTTTCCTAGTATTGTTTACATCATCTCAGCACCTGCATCTCCGATTCTGGGCTTTATGGTTGATAAAACGGGGAGGAACGTGGTTTGGGTGATAGTTGCTGTGGTTGCAACACTCGCCGCTCATATGATGCTCGCCTTCACCTTCTGGAACCCATGGATCGCTATGGTATTTTCCCCATGAAACCTTTGGCACCAAATACAAAACATGCATTTGTTAGCTAATGTTTGCACATTGATTGGAAATTGACATCTACCATTTTTAGTGTTGTTGATCATTCTTGATTTTTCTTAAGATATAAGTGCAGTCAAATGCATGTTACTCTACAGTGAACTAACTGTATTGGTTGTAAGTCTTACAGAAAACCTTGTGGAAAATAGTTGAATGCATGCATTCATATGACAGAAAATGCATCCACTTACAACTACATACAAATCATCTGGTCCTCACCAGGTTTTAAAATCAGTTAGATCTGACAATATGCATATAGTTAAGTGTGGGAATAGTATAAGCGATGGTCTTACCAATGATGCTTACCAATGCTTGGTTATAAGGCCATAATAAACTATTTGGAATCCATCATTTTACAATAAGAAGGGTTAGCAAGTTCAGACCGTGCAATGTTCATGTTGTGTTGTTCAGTGTTCATGTTCAATGATACACTGCAAAAAAACGAATTGTTGCATGTCACACTCTGCAGGCCTTGTGGTCAATTTTTATCATGTATTTATCATCATCAAACTACATGCTACATTGTGAAAGCAGTGGTTTCTAAATTTCCCCACAATGATGTTAGAAACTGATAGTGTTACTCACAAAATGTATGTTGTATATGCATGTTGTATTACAGTAAATACTAAGCTTTTACGTGTAATGTGTGTAGGTAATATGAGGTTATATTCTCTCATTCTGAGAGCAGGTAAAATCCACATGAAATTTGATGTGGTCTTGATATTGTTCGCAATCCTTACAGTGTGTTGACAGCATGTCTCATTTTCTTGTGTTCCAGTCCCTGCTCGGGGTCTCGTATTCCTTACTTGCCTGTGCTCTTTGGCCCATGGTGGCCTTTGTGGTACCTGAGCATCAGCTGGGAACAGCCTATGGCTTGTAAGACCCTTATTCTTAATTTATGATTGTGACTTTCTCACAAATGTCACTTAAATTCGCAAACACAAAGTAGTTTCTCAATCAATCTTTTCTTTTTTTCATTTTTATCAATGAATCTATACCTTGTTGTGTTTTCCCAACAGCATGCAGTCCATCCAGAACCTGGGACTAGCTCTCATTGCCATTGCAGCGGGGTCCATTTTAGACAACAGAGGATACCTGGTTTTGGAAGTGTTTTTCTGTGCCTGCATTTGCAGTCAGTATTTTCTTTCTGTTTCTGTGTGTCTGTGATAATCGTAGATTTTCAGATTCCACAGAGTGACAATGTCATTGTGATCTTCACGGTGGGTTTTCTGTCTTGCAGTTGCACTGATGGCAGTGGTGATGCTGTACTTTGTGGATTATCTCAAAGGTAAGGCAAGTCTGGAATGTGAGATTCTCCAGATGCTTGATTTTTTTTCACACCATTGTTTTCTTGTCTTTATCCTTATTTCCTCCAAAAAAAAATTTCAGTGTGAAATCTCTTACTTTCACTGTCGCTATTTATTTAGTTTTTTTTTTGTTTGCGTCAGATTCTCTTGTTTACCCTGATCTCTGCATGCCCCTCTCTTACATCAGGTGGAGATTTGAATCGGTCTGCTGCAGCCAGGGCCAAACTCCAGAAAGAAAGCACTTCAGATGCAGAGTGAGTAACTTTCTCCACCCTCATGCCCAATAATTAAACGCGCGTCTCTGAAACATATCGAGCAACATACTTATAAAATCAAGGGACATGAACATGTAATAGATTAGATGACTAATGAGCTCAATGAGAGTTCTTATTCAAAAGTTTTCCCCGAACGTCTCATCAGTTTAACCTTTTGCAATTCTTCAACACGAGTCAAGATATTAGTGTCAAATGAATTTCAGCAAAAGGACCCTGAATGTTAACCGCAAAAAATATATATATACTGTAAATATCCACCAAAGCAAATTGCTGTGTAATGTTGTAATCGGAGAGATAATCTCTGAAAGAAGAAACTCGTGCCCTATAAAAAGATAGAGGAGCACCTCAGAGAGCAGTTTCTGTCAGGGGGTTTTGCTCCGGGCGTCTTTGGCTCTCGCACCAGCTGCCTACTCAGTTTCAGTTTAGAGTGCTTTTGCTTCATTTTGCTGACAAACAACCTTTAAAAACTTTGCTGCACTGATACTGTCCATCCTTGTGGAGGAAGAAAATCTAGCATTACAAATGTGTATGACCATTTCACGGATCCTTCAGTTTTTGCCTGCTACCTTTCATGAGTAGAAGATGACAATCTTCAGTAGCTGCATGCTTTACTAGTCTCTGCCTTGCTGAGAAGCTTTTATCGTCTTTATAGGTGTCATCCTTTTTTGTCTGATCTGGATTCAACGACACTGCATGCACTGTTTAGGAGAACAATTAAGACTGACAAAAAATGTTCTAAAAACATGTCAACTCCTCGCAGCGTGAAGCGGAATGTGGTATTCTGTTTTATGTGACCTAGTTAGCGCGTGCGTTGCATGTACAGACAAACATGTCAGTGTGAATCCACCTGTGGCTTTGATTAGCTCACTGTGAGTCTTTGCATCTTTGCATGGATTTTGTCACACTAGCATGAGGTTGCCTGTTTCCATCCATCACTTGCCTCTAGATATTCTGTCTAAGCTTTTTTTTTTGTTGTCTTTTAATACCTTATTCATGCAAAGTTACTAATTTCAAACTGATATTTTCCAGATGATGATGATGGGCGAACACACATGGTCCTGGGCTTCAGAGCCAGCAGGCTGCACTGTCCACCCCAGAGCTTTCAGTCTCCCGCCATGGGGCAGGACTGCGGTTCTGACTCCGCCCAGTGATGTCATCTGTGGTTCTTTGCACCAAAACTGACTGTCTGGGAAAGGCTGTTGCGTCAATTACTCATATTAGAAAGCTGACAAATGACTTGGGACTTTATTTTAACTTGTTTTCCTTCACCGCTGACTCCTGTCTCGTTGGCCTTTTTCACAATGAGAAAAGCTTGAATTGTATTTTAAGACGTTTTGAATCCAGATGGAATCCATATTACGTGATGTTGTACTTCATGGTATAGGTTTTTTTAATGTCTTTTTTAAATTCGAATTGATTTTGTAGGCATTGGTTTTATTTTGAAAACTGTTTTTACCTGATCTTCACACAGACCACAGACCACATATCGCATGTCTGCGCTCCCTAACAAAACCTTTCAAGGCTGACACCCCAGGAGTGCTTTGTGTTTGGTTTAATCATACTGAATGCACCATTGACCTTTTTTTATGCTGGATCATCTGAAAAAGAGCCCAGCTCCATACTGTTTAATCTTTATGACTCTATTGTTTTATTTCCTAATTTCTTTATCTGCTCTTCGCTGGGCTATGAGGCTCATAAAAGTTTATATTCTGTTAAATCATCAAATACTACATTGCTTTAATGATAAGAAAAATAGAGAGGCGCAGTTTTGAATGCATTCACCAACTAAATGATATTCACTGCTTCAACTTTTGTAAAAAATGAATTAATATGACCTTTTTAAAGAATCAATTTTCAATTAATTTTTGTAGATTTTCTCGTTTATGAAGCTCCGGTGATTAGCTTGTAATAGGCACTTCCCCAAGTTGTTACTGTGTGCACATTTCATCACAATCCTCCTGCTCAGCGCCAGGGTGGACTATGGATGATCGGCACTCACTACCTCAGATGGTTACATCAGTCCCTTATAGAATAGTAGAGAAAACTCTGAACCCACAAACAGGAAAATAACTTGTAGCTTCAAGTCAAAACGCTGTATTTGCACATTAAAATGACCACTGTGTTCAGGAGTCGCACACTCTCTGCTCTTCTCACGTTTCGCTCAGTCACACTGTGGTGTTGTGGCTGCAGAGTAGAATTTGTGTATCTGAAAGTGTTTCTGTCAAACTACACAGCTTTATTGATCGATCTGTGTGTAGAAGAAAAAAATATATATATGTATGTCAGATTGAGATATCACATGGCATCCCTGTACAGCTGAATTGAGGCGGACTTAAAGGAAAGTCACTGAAAAGATTACACAAAGCCTTTTTGCAGAGGCTAATCTCTTTTGATACCGAGACCTATGGCATTCAATTAAACATGGATTATTTTTGAACATTTGAATCCTCCCTTTATTGCTGCAGTATTTCTGTCTTCGCTATCATTTGTATTACTTCCCCCAGCTTCTTTGCAGCAGCCAGTGATTCATCTTATTGCTAATATTTGCATAATCATGCTCATGTTAGAGTGGCTGTGGGATGTTTAAGGTGGCCACATTATTATCGCTGCAGGATTAAAAGGCGGCCCAGTAAGCCGACAGAGGGTGAGCTTGCTAGGCTGGCACCCATGTCTGCTTTCGGCCTGCGCAACCGCTATCTCTCCAGGCTCGGAGCACAGGTATGCCCACACACTCAATTTGCGATTAGACAGCATTCAGACAGAAATCCATTTAATAGCTGGTTCAGCCTATAATCTCGACTCTGGCAGTTCGTCAGTTTTTTTGCATTAAAGAAGATTTCGCTACAGTGCTCTGTTTCCCCTTTTCATTTAAAGTGTCTTGTTTTGTGCTCTCAGCTTCCAGACCACTGCTCTACCCATCTGTCATCACTTGCCTACCGCAGTGTTCTGAAATGATGCCCGTCATTCAACTGTCTGCCCCAGCAGTCGTGTACACTAAATTTGGGACTGCAGGTTAAGATGTGCACTAGATTAAGATGCTTCCAAAGTTTTGCTTTGTGACGGAAACTCTTGTTTTGTTTTAAACTTACACGGCTGGCTGTTCTTTGTATTTTCACGTGACAGTTATGGGTGCTTATTTTATGTCTGGGGAGTTGTTTCCCCCCTACATTAATTTTGTTCTGAGATTTCCCCCACCATTACCGCACAGTTTCTTCTATTTATTTATTTTTTTCCAGTTCTTTGTATTATGTGAAATGGGTGTGATGCTTTATGGCATCCTTGGTGTTCCAGGAACTGGAAGAGATGCAGCTTTCTGCAAATGACAGAGGGAGCCAGCTTCCTGACAGGCTTTCCACATCTGGGCAAAGTATTGCAGCTTTATATTAACTCGCATCAGTGCCAGTAATGCTATCTTTGCCTATTCTCAATGTTTCTTAGGTTCAAAAGATACCGGAGCAGTTTTGGTTGAGTGTTGTTCTTTGTGTCACCCACATTTTTCTAATATTTTGAATGTATATACATTTCCATTTATTTATATTTAAAAGAATAAAACATTTTTTTAAATACAACTTGTGTATAGTGGTAAAGTCTCTTGCTCTGCAGATTTTGGATACACGAGATGAAAGGAGGAGCTCTGATGTCTACATCCAGCTTATTCTCCAGCCCAGAGCTTTTCATGCTTCTTAAGGGGAGAATAATTTCCTTAGGCGTGCTATTGTTATGGGTGGTATACTACAAGGATAATGAATGTTGTCGCAGATAAGAAACCTCATGCTGCATTGCAGGCTGGCTTAAAAACACAAAACCCGACGGGTTTTCTGTTGGTGGCGGCCACAGGTTTCCGACCGGGCCCATCAGGTTCATCCCCAGAACATGCACCGCCACTGGGGGGCAGTTTAAACCAAGACCTAACAGAAACAAAACTGGAACACAAGCAGGATGAGGATGATGTTATAGTATCTTGTCACCGGACAGATTTTAAGTCCTTCATTCATATAATTCAAGATCTGAAGTTATTAATGAATTGTCCAGTTATGTTTCAGGCTTCATAACCATCATGCAGCTCAACTGAGCCCAGCCACCCACCAGCAGCTTAAGAGGAACACTTGGTATTTTGAATACATAGGGATAGTTAATAGACTCCCATGCCCAGAGAGACGGTCTTCCCAATAATTAATGCTGCGTCTAACACAGATTGCCAAGTTAAATGATACCATCAGCACACGGGCTGGGGGCGCTGTATTCCTTTTTTTTTTTTTTTTTTTTTCTAACTCACACACGCTCAGCATCCCATTGGCTGCGAGAATTTTCCAAGTCTGGTCTCCCATCAGCTGCTCGACTCAAAGTGCACACTTGGTCTGTGTCCGACTGCTGGGGAAGAGCTCGTCATGCTGAGGAACGGCGCGTACAGGTTGGTGTCACATCCACAGGCTCGTCCTCACACAAAATGTAACGCAACAGTGTTTTTTTGTGTAAGATAAACGAGTTCAGGCTGCTTCGACATGCATGGATGAGGGATCCAGAACCCCTGCATGACGGCGTCCAGTGCCCGCCGGACAGCTGGTTGCAGATGTGTTAATTGGATAGTTTTTTAGTTTTTTATTTAACATCTTTAACGTGAGTGATGTCCTTCCAGAAGCATGTACCAAGGAGAGGGGGTGAGGCTGCGGAGCGGGAGTCTGGGTCGGGAGAGGAAGCACCTTGCTCTGTGCATTAACAACCAGGTAAGAAAGTGTTAACGACGCTGTGTGTGTGTGAATAGATGTTCCGGAAAAGCATGGTCAGTGATGAATGATGGTCTTCTGTCATCTTTTTTTTCCCTGTTGTCTTCCTGTGTTGGATTACACGCTGATGTAATCAGCTTTGCACTAAGTTCATGATTTATCTAGTCAGTAGAAAAGCCTTCTTGGGCCTGACAATTAAGAGAAATGACCAAATCTAATATTTAGGTACACTTTCCCCAATGAAAATACAAAGGAGCACACCATCACAATGAACAGGTATATGTGCAAAAACCTTCTGTGTACATCTCCTTTTCCTTTCAAAGTGGACTTCTCTGAACTCTTTTTTTATTTGCTGAAATCACTTTTTCTTATGTTGGCTTGAGGCCAATAGAGTATTTTTCTCAGGGCAGCAAAAGGTCTCATTAATACCATATTAAACGACAGCTTTTAAATGACTTAATTTTCAGCTGAAACGGCAGTGTTCCTCAGCTGAACGAGTCAGATGCTTCCCAATAAGATCAGGGCTCGTGCACAGGATTTGATTAATCTTTTCAAACTTAGAGAGTGCTCTGTAAAGAGCAGTTGTTGTTTTTAACTCGACCATAAAAAATTAAAAAAAAACATTCTCCTACAGTCATCTTTAACGGACACGTGCAGATGTGGTCTTTGTGAGCGTAGGTGCGCAACTTCACCTGCATGTATTGAGCTGGTGAATATTTAATGCCTGTGATGTAGTGTTGCGCATTATCGGTGGCTTTGACTATTGAGCCTCCTGCATCTGAGAGCACTGTTCCATCACAGCGCTCCATTAATTCTGCTATAAAGTACCATTTTGCCACACCTCCCAGCATGCACAGACTTGCTTATTGCATGCTCTCCTCAACCATTTAATTATTTTTTTTCCTGAAAATTTTGACTTGCCCTGCTCCATTTGCCTCCTGAATTGTGACGAATATGAATTGATTCAGCTCAACTCTGAGTAGCTATGACAGGGGAGGCTTTGGTGAAAGACTAATCAGTAACATGAAATATGAGTTATACAAATGTGGGTTATTGGTTATGGAGGCAGCTCTTCTTGCTGTGTTTGCGTGTGTGATTCAGAGTCATTGCTGAGGCGGGAAACCCCTGAGAAACACATTAATCTATCCAGCCATTACCCCATAATCAATGGGACAGCTGAATTTTACGGTCTTGCCGTGTTGTTAACCATTTTACAGAGAGCTTATTTAAATGGCATGCCAAATAGGTCACATTTAATGGGGTTAAGCATAAAATATACAGTACTGTTGAAATGGTTGACACCATACTCACAGCTGGAGTCTTAAAACTATTCATTAGTATTGCCTATGAAGCATCTTGTTGATCATAATTCAGTGGACATGGAGAGAAAAAACTTCTCAGTGTGACGCCCTTTTAATGAGTCTTTGCTCAACATGAGCTGATTTCCAACCAACGCGGGTGTTGTTGAGACCCTGTGTGACGGGACAGACAGGGATGCAGCATTTGGCTTCATACGGGGAGACGAACATTGTGGGGGTGTGGTGTCGTATTTCAGAGGTGCATTGCTGTATCTTGCCCGGTGGGACACAGCGGGGCTGAGTGCCGTTTGCTCCAACTCACTCAAACGCTCCACAATTGAGCTGTAATAAGCCGCGCGGAGGCAAGATGAGCCTGCACACTGACAGATCGCTTTCCTCTGTCCCGAAATGCTCTGATGATGAAGACGTAGAGTTGTGTGCCGTGTGTGCAGCGTCTGTATACAGTGAGAATAAAAATGGTGTTTTGTCTTTTCATCAAAATACACAAATTCATGCACATACACTTACTGTATCCCCCCAGTTTTAAATTGATATCAATCTCATCCATATATCACACCTCAGAAAGGTTGGTGTTGTCATCGAGTGTGTGCTTAGTCTTTGATCAGTGGAAGACGGTGGCTCACCATTGATATGTTCTTGGCTTTCGCTCTTCTTTCTCTCCATATGGTAACCAGAACAGCCCTCTTCTGATTAATATTAGCAGATCAAATAGTCTCAAGTGTTCCATTTTGCATTTTTAAAGCGCTCTATAATCATTCTCTCACACTCATACCTCCTTCATCTCCACTCCTCGGAACCCGTGTACCTCCACACTATTCTGGATATCTCAATCATTCCTAATCCTGCACACACTCCTTCCTCATTAATACGCTTTTGCATTCCTTATTGAGATTTATCTGATACTCCAGCTCATTAGGTCAACAGAAAATTAATGAAAAAACAGTTTGGATAACAGATCAGCTGCTGCCATGTGCAGTATCAGCATTATCCCTAGGAAGTAGCTTTTTCCAATGTCTTAGATTTGAATATCTGAGGAGTGAGACTAAGAACAAGAGAAGAGCGCTCATTGATTGAAATGATTTCTTATGAACTATTAGTTTTACTGCTGGGGCTCGACATAAAGGGGGAATTTTTGAGTAACTGTTTAACGGCAGGTAGAGAAAAAACCCTTAATCCGGATGATGAAAGCATCATTGCTGTTGTAATTTGATATTGGTCACTTCACTGCATCAGCTCCAGCCTGCTATTGCTGATGACTTTGGAAGTGCATAGTGTTGACTGATCAGTGTAAAACTCATTGCTATTTCAGTCCACACAACAGCTTGTCAGCCAGGATCTTCATCAGTTTATGCCACTAAACCAGAATGTCTTCATTCCTTTCTTCCGCTAGCCTTTTCTCACACTGACTTGGACGTAAAGGTTTCTGACAAAAGTAGATATCGGTATCTGCTCTTTTGCCTCAGCGCTATAGCTGAGAGAAAATGCCAATTTCAAATTACATGATCACGCACATCTGTCATGGGGCAGTTTTTGTAGTCAGGGACTCGAGCAAAAGAGCGAATGTTGATTTCTGTGTGACTCCTTGCACACTGTGCGCATGTAAATTGATTTCCGATGTTTCGATTAATGAGCATCTCCACTGGTACAGCCCTTTTGATTGGATATTTCCTCAGGCTGATCGGCAAGTTGAGCTAGGGAGAGGCAGCCACTCACACTTCAGCGCGTTCCCGCGCTGCAGCAAAGTCCTCCGAGATCACACTGATGTGTGTATGATCGCACGTGTGTGCTTGCAGGTGTGTGCACTCCTCCGATGTGTGTGTCTTTGATCGTGTGCTTTTATGTGCGGGGAAAGTTGTTACTGCTGCTTCAGAGGGGCACACGGGCTTGATCATCTCCAATACAGTCAAGGCTGTAAGTGTGTGTGTTTCACCTCTGCCTGCCATCGATCTCCCTGATAGAACTAGGACTCTGAGAAATGATGATTTTAATAACTCATCAATTAAAGGGAAGCAGACTTTCTACTGTGTGCTGATTTCTCTCCCTTCCTTCCTTCCTCTTTTCCATCCATCTCCCATTTTCCAACCACTTAATGCTCGTTACTGTCTTCCTACACCCCCCCACCTTCAGTCTATTGATTGCCTTTATTTTCATATAAAAAATGATGTTCTGAAGTTGTTTACATGCCCAGTCGAAGTGCGTCTGCTTGAGTTGGTGTCTCCAGCTGCTGGTTCACTGTTATCCTGCGAACGTTGTGTCCCCTCAACAGCTAAATTTCCAAGCTCTGGCAGGATTTCTTTGACATTTTTAACATTTGTCTGCTTCCAAGGTTTCCAGTGCTCTGGAATGTGAAATGAAAAAGATTATTTTTATCATAGAAATAATGTTCAGTCATGGAATTTGACAAAGGTTTACCATTCATTCCCTTTTTTTTTGGTATATTAAACCCTTCTGTTTTGATTCGTCATGGATTCCTTCCGGGAGTTT